CTTAGAAGGCACTAGAATTCACAGTGGCCTGATATCTAGGCCAGCAGTTTGAGCCCTATATATAATTTTTCTTAAAAGTACCATTTTTGGGGTCTCCTTTCCTCCCCCCCCCCGCCCTCCGCCTTTTTCCTTGTTTTATTTTATTTAAAAAAAAAAATCACCTACCATTACAAAAAAAAACAACACAAATTGTCAGATTTATGCTCTCACAAAACCTTGCCAGATATCAGGACACAACTCAAAAATGTACCTACAGTTAAGATCGCTGAGCAGGAAATTGCCTCCAAGTGGATTTGGGTTTCACTGCAAACCCGTAATTCTGGAATCTGTGGCTCCTTTTATGGGCAGCCCCAATCCAAAGAGGCTGGAGGCCAAGCAGGCACGCCCAGCCTTTCTTGGCAAAGATGCCCAAAATCTCCACGTTGATACGGATCCTGCCCTGAACCTCTTCCCCTCCTCCGTCTTTCATGTGCCCTGCAAACAAAACCCATTTCTTTCTGTGCCAGGAAGACAGATCTCCATTGTTTATCTTGAAAAAAAATAAAATAAATAAAAATAAACTGTGGATGGACACATTCCTTTGTTGTTTTTTCATCTGACCTGTTTTTCATGCCTTGAATTTGCAAAGACTGCCGTAGCCTTGAGACTCTGGTGGAAAGGGGGGGAGGGAATCACTGGGAAAAAAATCAAGTGTGGACTCTCGATAGATGCTCCAGGCTGCAGCTGGGCAAGCTACCGTTCTGGATGAAGTCAAAACCCACAAATATGATGGGCCTCAGATTCATTTCCTCTGCTCAAAATGCACAGTGAAGGTCTGTGTGTGTTTCTCTCCTCAAATGGAGATGTGATTTAAAGCAGAGGTCCCCAACCTTTTGGGCACCAGGGACCCAGTTCCATGGAGAAAAGTTTTTCCGCAGACCGGAGAGTGTGTGGGTTTGTGTGCTGCCTGCATCCCACGGATGGGGCTTTGCTTGTTTGTGCGGACCGGGTGCTGGCATGCCGCAGCCCAGTACCGGTCCACAGATCAGGGGTTGGGGACCCCTGATTTAAAGCTTCCTGCTCCAAAAATCTAGAGACTTGAGGGGCAGGCAAGCTGTGGTGGTAAGGAAGAGAAAGGACAACGGATAGGTAGTCCTTGACGTACGACCCAAATTGAGTCCAACATTCATGTGGTTAAGGGAGACATTTGTTAAAAATGCACTTTGACCCATTTCACGACCTTTCTGGCCACACAGTTGTGAAGTGAATCACAGCAACTGAGAAGCAACGCAAGTTGTTAAGTGAATTGATTTTGATTTTGCTTGTCAAAAGGTTGCAAAAGGGGACGCGTAACCTCGGGACACACAGCAACGGTCATGAACCGGTTGCCAAGTGCCCAAATTTCAATCACGTGACCATGGGGATGCTACAAACGGAGTGTGAAAAATGGTCACAAGTCACTTTTTTCAGGGCTGTTCTAACGTTGAACAGTCACTGAACAGTCTGATTTATGCACTGGGTGTATATATATCATCCTTCCTCATCCAGCCTGCCTAGAATCCACCTGTACGCATCCCCCAAGTACCTATGGCAATCGTGCTAGGACAGGCTGGTGTATTATTTTGATAACTGGAATAAGGCCTGCTCTCAGGAAGAACCAATTATGAGAGATTTTAAATGCTGTAGTATTTCTTTCATTTAACTACCTACTGATATAGAAGTCAGTTTGCTATTTTTAAGAGGGCTTAGTTTTATTTATATTCCGCCTTTTTTATAACTAATTCAAGGTGGCAAATAAACCTAATACTCCTTCCTCCTCCTATTTTTTCCAACAACAGTCCTGTGAGGTGGGTTGGGCTGAGAGAGAAGGACTGGCCCAAAGTCATCCAACAGACTTTCGTGCCTAAGGCGGGACTAGAATTGCGAGTCTCCTGGTTTCTAAGCCAGCATCTGAACCACTAAACCAGGGGTAGGCAACCTTGGCTCTTTTATGACTCGTGGACTTCAACTCCCAGAATTCCTGAGCCGGCATACCTCTCCCTTTCCCCTCAGCATGGCTGGCTCAGGAATTCTGGGAATTGAAGTCCACGAGTCATAAAAGAACCCAGGTTGCCTACCCTTGCGTGACTAGACCAAATTGGCTCTCCTACTTTTAAGGAGAGAGACTGAGAACCAGTTTGATGTGGTCGTTAAGGCATCGTGCTGGGAGGTCCCGAGTTCTAGTCCTGCCTTAGGCACAAAGCCAACTGGGTGATCTTGGGCCAGTCATTTTCTCTCAGCCATAAGAAGGCGACGATGGGGGGGGAGAGAATTGCCAATTGTGGAAAAAAGCAGAGAATCAAGGAATTAGTTCAGGACGAATAGTAGATGACGCACCAGAAGGGCACACGTGTGTGATTAAAACATGGCACTGCAGCCTGCAGCTTTTTCCCTCAAATTAAACCTCAGGAAAGATAATGAATGTTGATGAAATTGAAGAAGAGAAAGGGAACAGCATGAATAATTCAAAGAAATCTAGGTTGCTTGTGAGTTCAGAGGAACAATTACAAGCAAACGCAAAGCCAGATATAGCTAAATTAAAAAATTACTACAAAAATTCAGGCTGGGCTCCGTCACGCGTGCCTGGCTGAGGAATTCTGGGAGTTAAGTCCACAAGTCATAAAAGGGCCAAATTTGAAGACCCCTGACTTAATGGGATATACAAGATTCGACCTATTTTTCCGCCCTTTTAATCCACAAAAACAGCAACCCTGTGAGGTTGGACTTCAAAGAAGGACGGGATTCACACCCTGCCTAAATTTAATATGCAATTTGCAAACAACAATGGTCAAATTTGCAAAATACTGTAGGTAAGGTCAAATCCCAGCAAAGGGATTGTGGATTAGAGCAGAATTTCTCCACTTGGAGATATGTAGATTTTTGTTTTCCAGAATTCCCTGAGCAGATTAGACACTGCTGAGAATTCTGGGAGTTGAAGTCAACACATCTGGAGTTGTCAACATCTCTCTCTTTCCCTCTTTTCTATTTTTCTCTCCTCATCCAAATATTTGGATATTATATAACTCTTAAATACATTAGTATAAATATACCACAGACATTATTAAATATATTATTCTTTTTCAGTAAAGCAAACTTTTGAAATTCGGCTAAGGACTTCCTTCCACCCTAGGATCCAAAGCTTCCCATCCTAAAGTAAGTGTTCCTTCAGCCTTCTCTGATTGGGTGCCCTACAGATACAGTAGATGCTTTCAATTCCCAGAATTCCCTAGCCGGCATGACTGCTGCTAAGAATTCTGGGAGTTGAAGTCCACAAGTCTTAAAGTTGGCCAAGGTTGGAAGGTAGCTACTTAGGAAAGGCAGCTTTTCACAGACAGGACATCTTATAAAATTATCAGCTTTATCCTAATCTGCCTATGTTAAATTATGGGTTTTTACTGCTATGCCTGGATTATCAACCCGATTATCCATGAAGCCAGTCTGGAAGAGAATCCACCCCTGTCCCAAAGCAAACTTAAGAGCCATGGATTTACCTCAGGAGTTTAGCTAGAACCGACCAAGCAGGCTTCAAATCAGCATTATGAAGCATTTCAAGCATCATCACGCAGTCAACCTCACTCATCACACCTGCACAATGACACACCACTAAGCAGAGGCATCAAACTAAGTTTAGCCATTTAAAAAAAGCTTCTACCTTGAGGGGGAAAAAACAGTTCTGCTTGTAGCAAATGCAAATTAAGTGACTCACAGAATCATCTAGGGCTCATTCCCCATAGCTTCCTAATTCCCCTCCTTTTTTTATCATCTAGGTCAGGGGTCTTCAAACTTGGCCCTTTTATGACTTGTGGACTTCAACTTTCAGAATTCTTCAGCCAGCCAGTTGAAGTTCGCAAGTCATAAAAAGGCCAAGTTTGAAGACCCCTGATCTAGGTCAATGTTTCCAAACCTTAGCAGCTTTAAGATATGTGGACTTCAACTCCCAGAATTCTCCATGTGATCCAAGGTTAAAAGACACCGAGGTCTAGGGGCTATAGGGCCCTTGGAAAAATTGAATTAGGCCTAATGTTTTAGACTGACCTGGTTTACACGATGAATCAAAGAATATTTGTTTAGTTATAGTTTAGAGCAGGGGTATCCAACCTGGCTGGGCAATTCTGGGAATTGAAGTCCACAAGTCTTAAAGTTACCAAGGTTGGACACCCCTGGTTTAGAGAATAAACCATGAATGGAGGTGCACTCCCATAACATGTTAAGCTACAAATCATAGTTAACAAAGGACCACAGTGGGATTCACCTGACCCCAAACAAACTTAAGTACCACACTATCCAGTTCTTGCTTCACTGAAAGAGTTAATTAAGACAAACATAACTCACTCAGATCTGGATCGTAAAGTTGATCTCTTAGAGATGGAAACTATTTACATCCCTGAGTTTGGGCCCTCCAAATGTATTTACTTCTCTACCTTGTTTATTCAAACTGAGCATTTGTTTACACAAACAAAGATGATCAAACACCAAATGTTTTTGCAAGACTGCATCCTTTCAACCTCCAAGTGAAGGGCAGGAAATTTGAATTATTTCTCTGTAATTCTGCACTTAAAAACTCTTGGCATATGGAAACCTAAAATTTCTTAGGGTTTGGCCAAACTGTTATCCCAAAGGTGTATCAAACACACTGGTTAAAAAAAAAGCACTGAAACAACAGAAGCCTTATCTGTAATGTGACTCCTTGCTAGCCAAATAAACTGAGCCTAAACAAACCAGGCCCAACTTTAGCCAGAATTGCAACTGTTTCAAGCCACCCCCATCCCTGTAACAAAAGGCCAGCAACCATTATTTAGTTTGCTGATAATTCTCCAATCAAATGCTTAGGACCCCTCTTCATGGACCAAGTTTACATAGATCTCAACGCATCCTTTTCTGGATAAATAAGACTTACAGGCCCCAATTTGTCAGCAAAGGTTGGAGAAGGGAACACAAAACACCCGCAAACCCCCATGGTGCACAAAAGCCCCCCAGATTACCTGCTCTGCCCCATAAACAGTAGCAAACTGCACAAACTCCTCTATCCGGACAAATCCATCATCGTCCTGGTCCAGGGCTCGGAAGACCATTTGAAGCTGAGGAGCATCTTCCAAACAGCCATGCAGCTCTTCCTCCAGGTGTTGGGCCTGCCCCAAAGTTAAGTGGGGGGCCAGATCTTCGGAAGACTGGAGAGAAGGGAGCAACGTATTGGGGGGAGTCGCCGCCAGGGACCTCAACAGAGGGGGACCCCGACCCATTTGAGAGTCCGAGTGGTCCATCTCATCCGTCCAGGGACAATCCAGAAAGAGCCCGGCGCCGTAGGATTCCTCTCCTGGAGGGCTTGCAAGATCCAGGAACAGCTCCCCTGGCCCTGGGAGGGTCTCCGGGATGGGGCAAAAAAGCTCCTCCACGTCCAAGTCTTCCCGGCTCCCCGCTGCCCCCAGTCGTAAATCCGGAGCAAGGGGATGCTCTGCTAATGAGCTGGAGCCCCACGGTTCATCCTCAGAAGCTTCCTGCGGCTTCAGGCTCGGCCCGACGGCGGCGGCGGCGTCTTGCCGGCGATCTCCCGCACCTGAGTCGCTTTCCTCGAGGCTGATTGGGCCGCCGCGTCCCCGAGCCCCCGGGTGTGTGTCTGGCTCCTCCGGGCCGGCCAGGCAGCCGCCGATGGAAGAGGAGGAGGGGAAAGAGGCTCGACGGGGACCCCACTCGGCCGTCCCGCGCAGCACCTGCTCCCGGGTCGGAGGCGCCAAGGCAGCGGGGGCGCTGGGGAAGCTTCCCCCGACGGGGCTCCCTCCTCCGGAGCGGAGCAGCAGCAGCTCCGAGCCGGGCAGAGGCGGCTCCGGACTCAGCCTCGCCGTCGGGGTGGCCGGGGCGGAGAGGGTCCGGAGCAGCGGCGGCTCCATGGCCGTCGGGAAAGCGGGCGAGGGTCGGGGGCTTCTAGCCCCCTCCCTCCTCCTCCTCCTCTCCCCCCAGCGGGGGCGGCCGAGCGGGGCCCCGTCGAAGCAGCCGATGCCCGCCCAGGCCCCGGGAGCGGCGCCCCCAGCTCCCCCCGCCGCCGTCGCCGCTCTTTTGGGGGGCGCAGCCGGGGCGCCTCCATCAGCTCCGCGCCCTTCGCATCTCCGGAGCAGCCGGGCTCGGCTCCGGGGGCGCGCCCGCGGGAGCGCGCCCGCTTCCCCAGCCGGGCAGAGGGGGGGGGCAAAGGGATGGAAAAGGGGCGATGGGCAAGCAAGGGGACCCCCCCACCCCCAAAGGCAGCTCCGGCGCCAGAGACCCCCCCTCCCCCCAGCAGCTGCAGCAGCAGCTGGAAGGGCGGCTTGCACGGCGAAGGCCGGGAAGGGGGGGGGCAGCCGAGGCAGGCAGGGACCCCCGAGCCTCCCCCCGGCGGGGTCGCCCAGCCCCGCTTGCTGCAAAGGCGCCGGGCGGAGGAGAGGCGAGGGCGGGCTTGCTGCGAGCCGGTTGCCGGGCGGAAGAGTGGCCGGGCTCGGCACGGCCTGCCCGGCGGCGCTCGCGGCTCCTCCCCCGGCGGAGGCGGGTCGGCTTTGTGCGCGGCCCCCGCCCGCTCCTCCCTTGCCAGGCTCGGCTGGGCCAGATCCGGCGGGAAGGGGCCGGGGCAGCCCCGAGGAGGGAGCCGGGCCGGTTCCCGGAGTGCTGGGCGGCCCGAGCCTGGAGAGAAAACTCCGTCAGCAGCCGAGAGATGCCGGCCAGGCGCATCGAAATGGGGGGGGGGCTTCTTACCAGCGCCAACAATGGAGGGGGGGGTCCCTTTTCAGCTGCTCCTGGGAGTGCAGGTAGTCCTCGACTTACAACAGTTCATTTAGTGACCGGTCAACGTTACAACAGCACTGGGGAAAAAAGTGACTTACGGCCAGTTTTCACACTTAACGACCGTCGCAGCATCCCCCACGGTCACGGGATCAACATTCAGCCATTTGGCAACTGGTTCGTATTTATGACTGCTGCAGTGTCCCGGGATCGTGCGATCCACTTTTGCGACCTTCAGCCAAGCAACGTCAACGGGGTGAAAAGCCAGAGTCACTTAACAACTTAAGAACTGCAGTGATTCCCTTAACAACGGTGGCCAATGAGGTCGTTAAAATGGGGCAAAACTCACTGAACCATTGTCTTTCTTAGCAACAAGAATTTGGAGCTCAATTGTGGTCGTAAAGCAAGGACTACTTGTAATAATAATGAACGAATGTGCAAAGAACCATAATAATAATCATAATAATCGGGATTCTGGTATCACCTTTTCCGATTTCCGACTAATGTATTTTGTTAAAAGGCGTCAACTTTCCCAACTGCAACTGTCTTCATCAGATGCCAGAGAAGCTCAGTGAAATGAAGGTGATGAAGTGTGCTGTGGTTCACAAAAGCCGACTAAGAAAATATAAATGGCACTATGGGATTCTTCCTGGTTTGGGGTTTTGCACAAGACCCCCGCCTCATTTTGTTGCTGGGTAATTTAACAACTGTGTGTTGTGCTAATCTTGCCATCCAGATTAATTCAAAAAGCCATAATAAACTCAGCATGGTGTGGCCAATTCCCCCCTCCCCCCAAGTTTTAGTTTAACATAGCCACAATGATATGCACTCCAACTTGTTTGTGTTTTCTTTTTGCTTGTGATACTATATTGCTTTTACCTTTGTTTGCTATTTTTTTTAAAGTGTTCTTACAAAACAAGAACGTGCAAACTGCAAAATGTGGGGAGCAAAGTGATCCAGAAAAGTGATGCCATTCTCTAGAAGACCACATAATTTCCTGTTTCTCTATCATGGGCAACCTCTGTGGCCTGATCAAGATTTCTTGCATCTCAACCAGGATTACTATTATCCCCAAAATCCCATTCCAGGAAGCAAAAGTTCACAAAAATAGCCGCCTGTGCTAATTGTCTGGAGGGTCACCTCTGGTGAACTGTAAGATTTATTGCCTTTTAATATTCCAACTCAATGCTCACACCCACTGCGCATGTGCAAGGGGGGACTTGATTTAAAGGGCCAGCAGCTTTTTTTCCCCCTTCAAATCTCCAGGTTCTCTCTCAGCCCCCAAAGCAAAATGAGAGGTGGGTTTTCTATGGACTGCCACCACAACCCCCCAGTAAACCAGTATGTGACCTATAACACAGCAATCCAGGTCTAAAGAAGTATGTGCTTCCTACTTTTCTGCTGTGTAGGTAGTCCTCAACTTATGACTGTCCAAAGTTATGACGGACCTCCCCACTGCTACTTACAGCCTGTTTTCAGAGTTATGACAGCCACACGTATCCCCACTGTCACATGATCGCATTTTGGGTGCTTGGCAATCAAATCAGGTTTATAGTCATTTGCAGCATCCTGGGGTCAGGTAACACAATTTGCGACAGTTTTTGCTGCTTTCCAGTATTTACTTCCAGTTTGCAGCAAAAACACCCATTGGGAAAATGGATTCACTTAACAACTGCCACATTCGCTTAACAACTGTTGTAAAAAAAAACGGTTCACTTCAAATCTGATCCTGTGATGCTTGGACTTTTGACCACAATTCCGGGCTCAATTCCGATCATAAGTCAAGGACTACCTATAGATAATATTGTTATGCAGACTGAGCATAACCTAATATAATCCATGGTGGCGCAGGGTCTGGAATGCAGAATTGCAGGCTAACTCTGCTCACTGCCAGGAGTTCGATCCTGACCGTCTCAAGGTTGACTCAGCATTCCATCCTTCTGAGGTCAGTAAAATGAGGACCCAAATTGTCGAGGGCAATATATTGACTCTGTAAACCACTTAGAGAGGGCTATAAAGCACTATGAAGCGGTATATAAATCTAAGCGCTATTGCTTGGAAAGGGAGGGAGGGAGGGAGGGAGGGAGGGAGGGAGGGAGGAAGGAAGGAAGGAAGGAAGGAAGGAAGGAAGGAAGGAAGGAAGGAAGGAAGGAAGGAAGCTGTAGTGGTTACAATCCTGATTGGCTCAAGGTTGACTCAGCCTTCCATTCATCCAATAGATGAATTTGCATGCTATAGAAAATATGAACACTCCCATTATCTTTTTAAGCCTTCCCAGTTTTATATCTTCTAATCTTCACTTTCTAACACTGTCAGTGCAGACCCAAGCCTTCTATTCAGTGATATACTGCCTCCAAGTCTGTAGGTTTTACATCACCATTGATCATACTTGTTCAGGCATTTATCTATTTCGTTTTAAAGGCATTTAATCCAACAAGCTCAGCTCATTTTTTTCTCTAGCCAAATGCTATCTCTCTCTTTTGTTCCATCACTGCTATGACTTCGAAGGAGATGCCGAATTTTTGTTGAATCTCATCTAGTGACAGGCCCAGCGTGACATCTCCTAAAAGGCTGACGGAAGTCATGACAAAAACTAATTTTAATCTCATCTCTACTTAATTAAAACTAAAGTCAGTCAATACAAATACTCTCTAGTCATGCGTGTAATTACTTTCTCTAGGACAAGCGACATTTTCCAACAATTGATGAAAAAAACCCAACTCCCAAAGCATCTCCATCCGGAGGAATAAAGGATGGGACCTGGTTTAAACTATGGTTTTAAGGCAGAAACCATGATTAGTATCCCAACGGTTGGGATCAAGCAACATGCTAAGGGAGACTCAAGTAACCAACAATGGCTTAGCACTACATCTGAACTTGGATCTGAATTCAATATACGACGACAGATAGTCTTCGATTTACAAGTTTGTTTAGTGACCGTTCAAAATTACAAGAGCACTGAAAAGTGACTTATGACCATTTTTCAGACTTAATGACCATTAACAACTATAGCAAACAAGGTCGTCAAATGGGACAAAAACTCACTTAACTGCCTCGTTTAGCAACGGAAATTTTAGGCTCAATTGTGATTTTAAGTTGAGGACTACCTGCACATAACCCAAGTCTTACTTTGCTTTATCTTGCAGTGGCCTCTTTTTTCTTATTTTAGAAACATTTAAGACCAAAAACACCCTGTTTATTAGCACTGAATCACATTGCATTTTGAACTCAGAAGGTGTTTATTACATCCCAGGCATCTCATTGGTTCTTAACTTAGTGTGCAGCCAAAATATTGCCCAGCTCCAAACATAGGATAGGACATCAAATCTGTTACAAAGCAAATTAAAAAGGGCTGACTTAACTGCATGAGACACCAAGGTCTGGGTGAGAAAGGGCCTCGGTATCAAAACATGTCAGTTGCCATTAAGAGCTCGACTTGTTACCAATTATATTTAGGTACCATGCAAAAGGAGGCAGCAAGCAGGCTTATCAGAAAGCAATCTCTGGAGCTTTAAATCAGCACAAAAGAATGCAGGGGATATAGGCTAACTGACCTTTCAAATGGAAAAATACAGTTATAGGTGATCCTCGACTTACGAGCACAACTGAGGCCAAAATTTCATTGCTAACTGAGACACTTGAGTTTTGCCGCACTTTATGACCTTCCTCGCCATATTTTGTTAAGTGAATCACTGTTAATAATAATAATAGTCGATGTGGCAGTGCCTGGAGAGAGCAGAATAGACGAGAAAGAACTGGAGAAGATAACAAAATACAAAGACCTACAAATAGAAATAAAAAGACTGTGGCAAAGGCAAGTAAGGGTAGTACCAATAGTCATATGCGCCTTGGGTGCAATCCCAAAACAACTGGAGAATCACTTGGACACCATCATCGGCACTGACAAATTCACCATTAGTCAATTGCAAAAGGCGGCCTTACTAGGAACTGCTTCCATCCTGCGACGATATCTGTAATACCATCAAACATCCACATCTGCCTAGCCCAAGTCCTTGGTAAAGACTCGATAGGTAGACAAAAATGCCAAATCCAGTTTGAAGATCTGGCTGACTGTGCGATGAATAATAATAATAAAGTTGGAAGGGACCTTGGAGGTCATCTAGTCTAACCCCCTGCTCAAGCAGGAAACCCTATACGGTTGTGAATCTGGCTTTCCCCATTGACTTTGCTTGCCAGAAGGTTGCAGAAAGCGATCCCAGAACAGCACAGCCATCCTAAATATAAGTCAGTTGCCAAATTTTGATCACGTGACCACGGGAATGCTGCAACAGTCATAACTGTGATAAACGGTCATAATTCACATTTTTTTTCAGAGCCGTTGTAACTGTTATAAATTGAGGACAACTTGCATTTGTTAGGAAGGTGCAAAAAAAAGCAGATGGGAACCGTCCGCAGCCTGACATGAAGGCCTACACAGCCTTTTAGACTCCAACAGCCATTTTTATTTCCCACAATTCCCCTCAGGACCTGACCTAACCCTGTTGAGGGGCATTCTGGGGAATATGAAGGCTCTCCCTGTTACTGCCAGCAGTGTATGATCACACACCCCCCCCCCGTGTATGTAGGGGCATTTTTACGAACTATTTTTGATGTTGTCTATAAGCAAGCAGTCTTTTGTATGGGGCTTAAAGACGAGAAATGCAATAAAAGCTGTGTTCTCTCCTGTGAGTGTCAGTGAGTATCCGTGTTTTTCAAATCTGGCCACTTTAAGATGTGTGGACCAATCCCAGAATTCCATGGCTGGCTGAGGAATTCTGGGGATTGAAGTCCACCCAACTTAAAAACGGCCAAGTTTTAAAAAAACACTGCTTTAGACATAACCTCACAAATAGAGAGCAAAATGAGGAAAGCTAGAGCAGGCATCAATTATAAAATAGTTCTTAAAGTAACTTAAAGTAACTCTCTTCTTGAGTCTTACATATCGTCTCCTGCCAAGGCACCGCTAAAATTCTTCCTCTTATATCGGGACCATCATCCCTCCGTTTTCCTTTCTAATTTCCAAGAGTCAAGCCTGGAGCTCAAAGGCATTTTCATCTCTCCAAAAAGTTTTTGAGAAGAGAGGAAGGGGGGGGGGGGAAGAAAGGACAGGATTTCTGCTTAATTTCTCCCCAGCCACGACTGACCCTCGGTTGTTCATTCCTAACCATTCCTGAATGATTAACTGTACCTTTCTTGGGGCCAAAGAAAGCTTTTAAAATGCTGTTAAATGCCAGCCTGTATTTGAGCAAAACTGTGTGTGTGTGTGTGTATGCACACATACATACATACATACACACAGAGACACATGCAAACACACTATCCTTTTCTAAAGAGCTATTCATAAATATGGAATTTGACCAGACAAGGTGGTTACAGCATTTGCAGTCTAAAATTTGAACCAGACAGGACTCTGGAAGGTGCTTTCATATCCAAGAGGCCAATTTAGGGTCTTATTATTTACTCTGGTTGTCAGAATTGGGTGGATTTTATCCTTTGGCTTTTCTATTTATATCTTTGGCTATTTGTGATCATGATGATGACGAGGAGGGAGTCACCCAATCTAACGAGAGATAAATCTTGAAATAAATCAATAGTTATGTGCTATCACGCCCACACGTCAACTCTCGACTTTTCCTCTGAACTGCCTGCCTGATGTATAAGCAAACAGTCTCAGGAACCTCCCTTGGGAGTCACCACTGGGGATTTAGCACTGAGCTAAATCATCCCAACACTTTTTTCTTTCTAAACTAACAAGGACGTTTGTGGGAGCTGGACAAAATCCTTCGCTCCGTGCTAAAAGGACCAGCATGCTCTTGGTTCCCAGCTCAGGATGCCCGTCTAAAGCCTGCATCCTTGAAGACAAGGGATGCTCCTGTTACTATAGCTACGAAAAGAATTGCAGAGTGGCAGCTTCAGGAATCCCATTGGCTCCGGACAGAAGGAAGGATTAATTGCTTAGCAACGGTTCACTTGAAAAGTCCCTGACAGAGAAGGCAGAAACCCACCCGGGAAAGGCAGGGGGGGGGCACCTGTTGGGGAAAGACAACATGAGCAATGGGGTCTGACATTCTCATTTGCACTTTCCACCCACCCCCCCAAGCCAGATGCTTTTAAAGCAAACAGCACAAACGCAACAGCCATCTCCTGGCGATTCCTTCTTTGCAAACTGGCTTTCAGATAGCTTATCCCTGGTTGTGGAAGTTCCATTTCTTACCCAAGGCTCTAAAAATACGGTACCTTTTCCCCAAGGAAGTGTTCGTACATTTTGGGAAGAGACATCTATTTCCACCACCCCCCTAAAAGCAGCCTTAAAACATTATTTGCATTTATGTGGGATGAACCAAAGAGATGGAATCCTGTTTCAGAATTGTGTTTGCCACTATAATAATGAAAAAAAAAAAAAATTGTCAGTTCCAAAAAGATATTTTTTGGGGGAGGGGAGAAGGTTAGGACATATGAGGCACATTCATGCTTTAAGCTTTAAGCACGGATGTTGCGTAAGTTTCCCAACACCACTACTATTTTTAAAAAGGCTACAAACTTCGATGTCACCCTTTAAGCCGGTGTGTGTGTGTATGTGTCCAATCATGGCAACTTTAAGAGCTGTGGACGTCAACTCCTAGAATTCCCCAGCTAGCACAGAATTCTGAGAGCTGAAGTCCACAGTTCTTAAATTTGCCAAAGGTGGACACGCCTGCTCTAAGCAACCACCCTGTGGCCCCCAGTAGCCAGAAAAATAAAAATAAAAATGCAGCCCCTGGGAAGAAGTCAGAGTTGACCACTGCTACATTATTCCATCAAGTGCATCTCGGCATCACGATGCAAATCTTTCCCCAGAATGGCTACTGAATGGGCTGACAGAGCTAGAAAATGAACGAGAATTTCCCCATGGCATCAGGAAGGGCATCCAGCTAGCAAATGCTCAGCTCTATCCAGTCGCCCTGTCTCCACCCCAAATTAAGGGATGACAGGGTTGTAAAAAGGGAATTTGTTGAAAAGTAGAGTATTTATTTGTTAGAGGATTGGGGCAGATAATGCCACACACAGCAAGAGCTGGACAAATGCAGACTCGCCATTTTGGGACTGAACATTGTGCTTGGGAATGAATTGGAAGCATCTTATCCGAGGCAAGTGATACGAAGGCTTACAAGCCAATCAAATCATAATCAAAGTTGTTTCTGCCCTGATAGGATTTCCGCCTCAACTACCCTTCCGGTGATATAGTACAGGCTGGTGGGTGAACAGGATTCAGTCTGTAGGTTTCTTTGTGCCACCATCACCACTTTTTGTGCAATGAAGACCCATCTTACAAACCAGGTTATCTAAACTACCTTGAAACTAGGAAAGGTGAGTGGCTGCTATCCGTACATTGCCACAGACGGTTTGCCCGGAAGCACTGAAGACACTTCCTTAAAATGTCGGGGTGTCCTTTTCTCATGTATCTCTCTTTAGTTCCGTGCTCCAGAAATCTGTAATAAAACAATGAGACAGGAAGTGATTGGAACATTCAAATAGGTGGAAGGGAAACTTGAATGGGAAAACAAGAAATATCCAAGTAGAGAAATGACCTGGAAATAAAACTTATCCTGGAACTCCAAAAGTAGATTTGGGGAGTGACCTTGGCAGACAGGAGGAAGAGCAGCAGACTAGACAACGGTCAGATAAGTCATCCAGGTCATGATTGTCTCATGGGTGTTTTTTCAAAAGGCAACTGGACTGTTTTTTTTTTTTCCTGAGGAAGAAGACATTCTCCTTCCAGAATACCCCAGCCAGCAGGATTCTGAGAGCTGAAGTCTACACATCTTAATGTTGCAAAGTTTGGAAAACACTGTGCTGTACTAAACCAAAAGACAAATATATTCTCTTATGTGGTGGAATGTAGTCTGGATTCCCAAGAGGGAAGGGCTGCATTCCAGAGGACCAAGAGACAGCTAAGTTTATATTGTTTGATTGGGAGAAAGAGAATTAAGAAGCCTCTTCCCTAGAAGAGTATATATTTAATGATAGTAGTAGCACTTAAGACATGCAGTATATACCGCCCCGATGTGCTTTACGGCACTTTGTGGACAGTTTACAATGTCAGATCTTGCCCCCAACAATCTGGGTCCTCATTTTACTGATTTCAGAAGGATGGAAGGCTGAGTCAATCTCGAGCCCCATCAGGATCGAACTTCAGACTGTGGCCAGAGTTTGCCAGCAGTACTGCATTCTAACCACTGTGCCACGACGACTCTATAATGATTATTAATGGTGCGTTTGGCAATATTTCTGTCTATAGGTGAAACCCAAACATCTCCTAATCTCCTAATCCTTTCATTTTCTACAAGGCTTAAGAGCACACTAAGATTGACCAACCTCGTAGGACTGTTGTATAAAGGTGATGTTCTGATTCTATACTGAACTTGAAAAATTGCTAACCTTCCCTAAGATGTTGGCTAGCTCTTCACATGGAGACAGGCTGGGGTATGAGTGGAGAACCACGCAATCCAGTCACTTTTGCCTGCTATAATGGTAGGCATCTCCCTGTTGGAAATCACCCTGTTTCTTTTATGGCTTTCTCGTCTCAATCTCCATCATCTCAACCTCCATTTTTCTTGAAGTTGATTTGGGTTGGGAAGCTAAGCTAGGTCAAGTCTGCTCAGGCTTAGGAACCCCCCTCCACCCCCCCCCCCAAAAAGTTTGGAGCCAATCAATTCTTTGTTATGGCAAGGAACGAAACGTGGACCAGAAATTGAGGCTGACTCAAGGGAGACCCTCTTGTAAAGTCACCGGCCGGGAAAGAAACTTCACCTATAGCTTAGCTATACCCAACAGTGAGGGAAAGGAATTATCCGAAGTCATCCAATCTCCACCGTCCACCACAAGTGTTGTGCCGGTCACGTACGACGAGAGGGGGCTAACCAGATAGAGGACACTGTGAGCAATCTCCGTCTTGTTCCCAGCCCGTTGAAGGGGAATGTTCCGGAAGTACTGATTGGCTTCCAGGTTGGATGGAACTAGAACAAAAGAACAGCACAATCTTGGCCCATTAAAGAAACAGGAGCACGGAAGGACATCAGCCTATACATCAATCCAATGATCTTCAAAAAAATCAAGATGGCGGCCACCAGTGTCGTTGTGAGGCAAGCCTGGGGATGACTAATGTCAATAGGGTGTTCTCTCCATCTGTAACCCTATCTTTTAATTCTGATTTTAATGTTCTCCTTATTTATGCTTTTTTATTTCGTGACATGTTTTCACTGTAAGCCTCTCAGTCACCTAGGTGAGATGGGCAGTATAGAAATATGAATGAAACTGCATACACACATACACACGGAATTTCAACTGCATTGTTGTGGCCATCTTGATTTTTTGGACCACACCTTGAAGGACACCCCTTCATTTAACAAGTTCTTCTCTCCCATCGGAACCCCACTTGAAAATCACAAATGTTTTTAGTCTTGCCTTGAAGGGGGGGGAAAAAAACGAGGTCCTGAATAATCACCTTAATTTGCATTTTATGAGGAACGTTCCAGGTTCCCATATCTCAGCTCTAGGCACTGAGAGCTGACCAAAATGGGAGAGTATTAAATAATCAGTTTAATTTGCACTTTAATTTGGACTCCCTCAGTTCACACTCTCCAACTCTTTGGGGTAATACCAGGCAACTCCCAAATACCTTTCTAATGACCATTTTCAATTCTGTATTCTTCCAAATTCAATATTATGATTTTAATTGACAGTAATCAACGTTTTACTTTAGTTTACAAGCTGTTTAAAGAATAGGCAACTTTGCAAATTAGGAATTTCTGTGTTCTAAATTAGGAATTTCTGTGTTAAATTTAAAAAAAATTCCTCCAGGAATAATTTTTATTGCACACTTTCTCTGCATTCACCTCTTTCGAGAGCTGCTCTTTTAGAAAATTTACCTTTTATCTTAGAACAGGGGTAGGCAACCTTGGCTCTTTTATGACTCGTGGACGTCAACTCCCAGAATTCCTGAGTCAGCCATGCTGAGGGGAAAGGGAGAGGTTTCCAAGCTGAGCCAGGCTGGCTCAGGAATTCTGGGAGTTGAAGTCCACCAGTCATGAAGGGGCCAAAGTTTCCACCATGCTGGCTCAGGAATTCTGGAAGTCGAAGTCCACAAGTCATAGAAGCTATCTTAGAAGTTACAAGCTGTTCTCAATTCAGAAGACTTACCTAAACGACGGTACCCCTCCGTGCCCGTAATGGGACCAGGGGCGATGCTAACCACTCTAATTCGTTGAGGCCCCCATTCCACAGCAAGATGCTTCGTCATAGCCTCTGTGAAGAGACAGAAAAGCCCAAAATTAGAACTTTCATGAGTTCCAAGAAGTCTACTTCTGTATTAAAACTTTTTTTTTTGAAGGAGGAAGAGAATATGGCTCATGAAATAATTTGGAGATACACAGTCTTGGTCCCATCAAGAACAGAAACATATATTCTTGGGCCTTGAGTGTCCACCCTTCTAAGGGGGACAAGGTCAGAAAGAAGAGTTAACTTGATTTAATTAACATTTCATACTTTCCCTATACTTTTCAATTTTCCAATTTGGCAAATTCTCCAATTCTGGAGAAGCCCTGGAGTTATTAACCATGGATTCTCTCAAAGATCGCTATGCAGAAGAAATAAGCAACCCATTGCTGCTTCCTGCACACGGCTTTACAAAAAGTTAAAGAAAAGCCCATGAAATTTAAGTGTATCATCCAAAAATGTGCTCAAAACTAAGAGGATGTCTTGTCGGATTCCCCAAAATCTCAGCTAGATTGGAGTTAGTGGTCAAAGGGGGTTTGTACCCTGATATGGCTAGATCAGGGGTAGGCAACTTTTATGACTCGTGGACTTCAATTCCCAGAATTCCTGAGCCAGCATGGAGGAACTATGGCCCCTTCATGACTCGTGGACTTCAACTCCCAGAATTCCTGAGCCAGCATGGCTCAGCTTAGAAACCTCTCTTTCCCCTCAGCATGGCTGGCTCAGGAATTCTGGGAGTTGAAGTCCATGAGTCATAAAAGAGCCAAGGTTGCCTACCCTTGGGTAGATCTACTGGAGACAATGGCCATAATATTCCTTCCTGAGAACCCATCATCCTCAGCGAGGAGAGGAGTGAAGCTCACAACCTTGGACAGAGCTACTAGTGAAGAGAGGAAGAAGAACAAGAGAGACAGAATACTTCAACCTCGTACCTATGGCTGCCTTGGCAGTCCCAGCATGCATCTGGAGAGCTTGGCCTTTGTAGCTGAGGGTGGCTGTGATGTTGACAATGACGCCACCATGTTCCTAAGTCAATAAAGCAAGCAGCAAGGTTGAGGTCAACCTCAAGAGAGTCCACAGCCACCACTTGTGCCAATTAAGAAATAAAGAATGGAAAATGGCTGGCTGAAGCCTCACCTCCCCCAGTGTGAAATGTCCAGTCAGGAGTGTCCACAGAGGGATAAAAAAAAATATCAAGATGGCGCCATGGCTGCAGTGATTCATTTACACCCAGGCACTGCCATGTTGTTGTTGTTGTTGTTGCATGTTGTTGTTGTTATTATTATTATTATACTCTTACCCGAAGGGATTTTTCATACAGGACTTTGGAGACGTTGAAGGTGCCCAAAGTGTCAATTTCAATCACCGTTTTGTAACCGTTGAACGATAAAGAGCTAGCGGGACAAAGGAAGTTCCCAGCAGCACCTGAGGAACAAGACCGTAGAAAAAGGAACAAGACAGAAAGTGTGACTTGTTGGGTTGCAAGCTTTGACCTGAATTCGTATCTTCTCCCTGTATGGAAAGGACCACCACGAAAACTGTTGCACACCATGATCTCCTGATAAACACACATCCATTAATTGAATGTGTTGGATCCTTGGAGGGAGGGAGCCCATGTTTGGAAATAAGCTAGATGCAACAGTTGTCTAATGGCCAAGGAGATTTGCTATCAATGTTGGGTTTAACCAAATATCGGTATAACGTTTGCCTTGTCAGATTACATGCTCTAAAACAGTGCTTCTCAACCTTGACCACTTGAAGATGGGTGGACTTCAACTCCCAGAATTCCCCAGCCAAGTGAGATTCTGGGAGTTGAAGTCCACGCATCTTCAAGTGGTCAAGGCTGAGAAACATCACTCTGGAGGACTCAAAGTGATGTTGGACTGAGGTGGATATCAACCCTACTCAATCACTAACACAAAATCCAATGTTCTTGATTCTGTGAGATTGGGAGGCTGTGGGGGGAAAGGGGATGTGGAGGATGTGTTGTGAAGCAGCACACTTGGCCATTTATGAGTTCAACTACAACACCTTCCAGCATCCAACAAGATCACCCTTCTCATTCCCAATCTGAAGCTTGCAGATGGAGAGAACTTCCAACCACCAAGAGGATCAAACCCTCACCGTTAACTAGGATGTCAATCTTCTCAAATTCTCGGAGGGCCTCATCCACAGCTGCCGAAATGGTCTGAGGTTGCCGCACATCAAGAGTGACAGGCAAGCATCGCTGGCCAGTGGCTGCACAGAGTTTCTTGGCTGCCTATCATGGGAAATAAAGATTTTAGGGGATCAGACAGCTGCCCTGGCACGCGACACCTGGAGAAAACAAGGACCGTGTCTCAAAATAGCAAACTGGTCCTTAAGATCAGCACTGGGGTGGGAAGAAACATTTCCTATTTTTCAGAGACATTATTGGCCGAGTTAGCATTCCATGCTTAGCCAATTCTGACTGCATAAATCCACCGCTGAGTGGGCATCTCCAGCTAATTTTGTAATTAACGTAGGCTTACATTCTTTATTGAGTTGATGCAACCATACAAAATCAAAACCAGACAGTCATCTCTACAATCACATGGGAAAGCAAGTGCAGGTAGTTCTCATTTAGTGACCACAATTGCGACTGGCAACTTGGTCATTAAGCAAAGTGGTGACTAAGCGAAGCTGTTACTGTGCATACGATCTTATTTCAGCTTTCATTTGTTTGACAGTCTTGCAAAGGCTGGGAATGGAAGGATCAGTCATAAAGTTACTTTTTCATCACCGGTGCAACTTCAAACGGTCACTAAATGAGGGAGTTGCTAAGGGAGGCCTACTTGTACACGTCACTGAATTTTTTTTGCTTGAAAAATATGTTAACTGTAAAATTTCAATTAACATGATTCTCCTCCTACAACATCTATGACTTCCAGAATCCTTCCCCATTAGTCAAGCTAGTAGACTGATAACACGTAGAAGTCCATTGATTTTCCATGTGTATCATAGGATCAACCGTAAACTTTATTTTTCCCATAAACCCTTATTTAAGAAAATTAAAGCTATATTTGCAATGATCGGCTCAATTCATCTCCCAACTGGCAATCTTTTCTTTCTTTATTTTGGCTACTTAGAAAAGGGATAGAATGAGGTATCATTCTAAAAAGGTTTTTTAGCAGTATACACCCATGCAACAATAGCAGTTCCCTACAATATAAATAACATGATGGTTATTAAACATTAACCCAGCCACAACCTAATCTAAGTCAGCATTCCTCAACTCAGCCCCTTTAAGATATGTGGACTTCAACTCCCAGACTTCTTCAGCCAGCATTTTGGGAGTTGAAGTTCACCCATCTTAGAGTTGTCATGTTGGAGAAACAGTGATCTAAATTCTGGGCTGATGACCCAATCAGAATCAGCCTCTAAAGCAGGGGTCTTCAAACTTGGCCCTTTTATGACTTGTGGACTTCCAACTCTTAGAATTCCTCAACCAGGCATGCCAAGTTCCTGAATCTTTGGAAGACCACGAAAATGGGTGTCCTCCTTGCTTCACTGAGATGCTACTAATATCCCAAATGCGATAGTAAAAATACAAGGATCTAGCAGCCACTCACCTCTGACACCCGCTGGAAGTTTCTGCTGGCAATGACACACTGGCAACCGTGCCTGCAGGAAAATTTCCCAAGATCAGACAGAGAAGCCAACGAATGCAAAAGCAGACCAGGAGCTAACTTATTTCTTTTTACTTAAAAGTGCGAGGGTTTAAGAAATGCAAAAGCAAATATCTGGGGAACTGCACTAATGAGGCCGCACTTGGAACACGGCATCCAGTTCTGGTTGCCACAATATAAAAAAGATGTTGAGACTCTGGAAAGAGTGCAGAGAAGAGCCACAAAGAGAATTAGAGGCCTGGAGCCTAAAACATACAATGAAGGCTAAAACAAGGACGAGGGGTGACAGGATAGCAGTCTTCCAGTATCTCAGGGGCTGCCCCAAAGAAGAGGGAGTCAAGCTATTCTCCAAAGCGCCTGAAGGCAGGACAAGAAGCAACGGATGGAAACTAATCAAGGAGAGAAGCAACCCAGGACTAAGGAGAAATTTCTTGACAGTTAGAACAAATAATCAGTGGAACAACTTTTGCTTCTAGAAGCTGTAAATGCTCCAACACTGGAAGTTTTTAAGAAGAGACTGGACAGCCATTTGTCTGAAATGGTACAGGGTTTCCTGCCTGAGCAGGGGGTTGGACTAGATGACCTCCAAAGTCCCTTCCAACTTTATATTATTATTACAATTATTATTATTATTTATTCATTAGACATGAACCTCAGTCAACTGAACATTCAAATTGGCTGGCACCGATGGTTGACACAGGTTGCTATATTATTATTATTATTATTATTATTATTATTATTATTATTATTAAGAAAAAGAAGGACTTGGGAAAATATGATAGCCATGTTCCAATATTTGAGGGGCTGCCCCAAAGAATAGGGAGTCAACCTATTTTCCAAAGCACCTGTAGGCAGGACAACCAATAGAAGCTTATGGAGGAGAGCTCCAATTTACAACAACTAAGGAGAAGTTTCCTGAGAACAATTAATCAATGAAACCATTTGCCTCCTTGAGTTGTGGGTGCTCCATCCCTGGAGCTTTTCAAAAATGGACTGGACAACCATTTGATCGTGGAAATGGAGAAGATCAAAAATATTCCAGAGCCTTTTGCGAAGATCAAATGAAGACGGCAGAGTCTTAGCTGAAGATTCTGCCAGAGATCTGCTATCCATACCTCATCAGGATCTCAGTGATACGGAATCCAATCCCGGAACCGCCGCCCGTAATGAAAGCTACCTTTCCTCTAGAAAAATCAAGAGGAAGAGACGTCTAGAATCAGGAGCTACCAACACAATTTGCTTATTCATATACTTATTTGTTTACTGCCCAACACCCCAAAACTCTGGCTGGCTCCCAAGTGAAAAAGCATTAAACCCTGGAAAAGGAATTCTAGAATTCACAAGATTAGAGTTTTTTTTAAAAAAAGGAAATTGAATCATATTCTTTATTACAGGTTGTTAGTGACCCAGACTAATAAAACTTCTTAAATAAAACCCAGAGAAAGTAGAAAATGAAAAGATGGCAAAACTGGACAGGAATGGCTGGGAGGCAGCATTATTATTGTTGTTGTTGTTATATTTGTAGTGCATCCTTTTGTATATATCTCAAGGTGAGAGACATACTGTTATGGTTCCGGCTAATGAAACATTTCAAAGAACTTCCAGGCATTGTTTTCCTAAAAGTCTTTTATTGTTACAAAATGTCGGCACAGGTACAACAGAGGGATGTTAGAATCTAAGTTCTCTTCCTCTGAGCAGTTAAATTATCAGCATGTTCCCTTCCTAAATTAGCCAATATCATATTATCCAATTAGTGTGAAGGTCAAAGGTTTTCTTCCTCTTTCTTTCCCGGGCTTTACCCCCACCCCTCTTCTGCTCTGTATTAACCCCATAAATACGACAGTTCTGCATATTGTCAAAAGCAAGAATATACAATATTTGCAGCATTGACACATACCTAATATTGCTGCCTATTTTCCCCAGAACAACCCCCCTGTAAAGTGGGCTGGCGTGTGAGAGAGAGAGAGGGACTGGCCAATAGTTCACCCAGCTGGTTTCATGGCTAAGGCGGTTCCACACAACCAGGTTCATTGGAACCTTAAAGAGACCTAGCACCTTGGGAATACTTACTTGAGGATGTCAGGCGTGAACATATATGAATATTCCGGAAGACAGTCGTCTGTATCCACATCAGGAGGAGGTTCACAAGCAAAGCCTAGATGAGCCATGGATAGCTAGCTTGTTCTACCAGGAGCACGGCAGAGTTACAACTGATCCTGAGATGGGGAGAAAACCCACAATATTATTATGGTTTGTCATAAACTCAGCCAGATGTTCAGACTGGATTTGGCGTTTTTATCCACCTAGGGGTCTCCAACCCCCGGTCTGTGGACTGGTACCGAGCTGTGGCATGCCAGCAACCGGCCCACACAAACAAGCAAAGCCCCATCCGTGGGATGCAGGCAGCACACAAAACCACGCACTCTCCTGTCCGCAGAAAAACCTTTCTCCACAGCACCGATCCCTGGTGCCCAAAAAGTTTGGGACCTCTGACCTAGAAAATGCTTCCCAAGAGTCTGGGATAGGCAGATGTTGATGTTTGATGGTGTTAGATATATGGTTGTAGGATTTAAGCTGTCCTGAGTAAAGCTGCCTTTTGCAATTGACTGATGAATTTGTCAATGCCAGTGGGGTTCAAATGGTGCTCCAGATACTCTGGGATTGCACCCAATGCACCTATTATTATTATGAGCCATGGTGGCGCAGTGGTTAAAATGCAGTACTGCAGGCTACTTCTGCTGACTGCCTGCTGCCAGCAGCTCAGCAGTTCAATTCCTGACCGGCTCAAGGTTGACTCAGCCTTCCGTCCTTTTCAAGGTCGGTAAAATAGGGATCCATATTGTTAGGGGCAAATATGCTGACTGTAAATCGCTTAGAGAGGTCTGTAAAGCACGGTGAAGCAGTATATAAGCCTAAGTGCTATTGCTATTATTGATACTACCTTTGCTATCTTTTGCCACCATCGTTCTATTTCTACTTGCAGGTCTTTGCATTTTGTGATGTTCTCCTATGCTTTCTCTTCTCTTCTCTCCAGGCACTGCCACGTCCACTAGCCAGACTTTTTTGTCTTTCTTATCAACAACTGTTAACTCTGGGGTGTTATGTGGAAGGTGCCTGTTGGTCTGAATTCTAAAGTCCCAGCTCACTTTTAGCTTCTTTTATTTCTCTGACTTTCTCTATCATTCTATTAATACTATTATTAAATTTATTTGCCACCCATCTCACGGTTTGAGGCGACTCTGAGCAGCTATTGAGGAAACTAACAGAAACAGCTACGAAGTAAAGAAGTTCAAACTTCACAGCCCCTTAAGTTCATATTCAAAATACATCAGCTTTGTTTCCAAGGAAGAAAGATGGCAGATAAATTCTGCTCCAGAGATCAGCTATTGCAATGCCTAACTGGTTTGGCTAAAAGGCAGAAAAGGAGAGAAACTCTAATTTGTGCCTGTTGTCTCCTCTCTTTTTCTTCCACAATTCAATCACAACCCCTGCAGTGAGTAACGCAGATTGCAATCCTCACCTTTCACCCAAACAAGTTTTACGCCTAAACAGATGCTGCTTCTTGAACATTTAAAAAAAAGTTTTACAAAGTTCTTTTTAAAAATTAGATTTCTTCTCCCCCCCCCCTTTTTTTTGAGGCCACCACCTTTGGAGAAATATGTGGGGCAGCTTCAGAAAGGAGAATTCTTAGGGGGAAAAGGGTTCCCGAATTCCAGCTATATGCAAAACAGCGCTGGGGTAAAGCCTATTTTTGCGGCTTGCAGCAATAGAAATGTTGAGACTGTCTACGGCAGTGGTGGCGAAGCTATGGCACAGGTGCCAGAGGCGGCACTCAGAGCCCTCTCTGTGGGCATGCGTGCCGTCACCCCAGTCCTAGGCCTTCAGCTGGGTTTTATAAAACCTTTTTGCTTTAGGCTTCTGCCGCCAAAAAAAATTCAATCAATCAATTTCAACTTCTCACAGGAAAAAAAAAAGATCTTGCAAAGTTGGAATTGATTGATTGAACTTTTTAGTCCCACCCAGTCTGCCGTTACCAATGCAGCTACCCCCACCCAATGGGCAACACCCACCTGGCACCCAACGATGCATAAGTGGGTTTTGGGTTGCAGTTTGGGCACTCGGTCTCTAAAAGATTCGCCATCACTGGTCTATGGAGATGCTGAGTCCTCCAGATCCTGGTTGTCCCAAAGGTGCTTTTTTCAAGAGGCAACTGGACTTTCTGTTTTTTCTTTCAAGACCTTGGGCTTCAAAGAACGTCTTCAAAGAAAAACCAGAAAGTCCCCCCCCCCCCAAAAAGCACCTTTGGAACAGGACTGTTGGAGCCACAGAGGGAAGGAATGGAGGAGGATCTACCCAGGCACTGAACTGAAGGAGAGAATTAGATGCATTTTTGCACACACACACACACACACACCCCAAACTGGTTTTCCCTGGGGGAGGGCAGCCTTGCCCCTCCCTCGGTTAGAATTAAAGCCCCCGCCCTCCCCACCTCGCGCAGCTGGCTGGAAATGACCGAGTGGGCGGGAGTTCGGTTCCCCATTACCGGAGGGCGCCAGGTTGCAAAAGCTTTTCTGAACCCCATTCCTGCCCTCCCGAGGCTCCTGGGCTGACACCCCACACTCACTGGGGTGCCCTCTCCCCGAGAATTGCGAGCGCTTGCTTCGAGCGACAGCCTTCCCCCGAGCCAAACGAGCTGGGACTACAATGCCCCTTATCCCCGCCCGCGGTTGCAACAGACAGCGGGATTTGCAGCCCCGGCGCATAGGGGAGGGTTGCAGAAGGGCGCAATTAGGGGTGCAGAAGCGTACAATTAGGGGTGCTTTGCCCCCCTCCTCAATTCTGCCCGCCCCCCAACAATTCTGCCCCTTCCAACTCACCTCTCGTTGAAGCTGCTGCTTAGCGAGTTGCGTTTCTCTCCGGCGCGCCTGCGCGCTGAGCTGAACCCCCGAAGCATGCCGGGACTGGTAGTTCCTTGTTTAAAAGACTGGGAGGCGCTCGGCTCAATGGGACGTCCTAAGGTTGGTCCTTGTTGGCCAAGAGATGCTTTGCTTAGAATCCTATCGGGCAATTTCTTCATTAGACCTAATTAAAAAAAAAAAGGAATATTCATGAGAGTGTGGGAGTCTTCTTTATTACACAACGGGCTGCGTTCGATTTTCTAGGCTGGTTTTTTGCAAAATGAGAAAAGTTGCTGATCTCTTTTCTATGGAGATTCTCCATCATCCATGGTCATGGCTGTCCCTGTCCCAAAGGTGCTTTTCCAAAAGGCAACTGGACTCCCTTGGTTTCAGTTCTGTTAGAACTGAAGAAGCTTCTTAAATGAGAAGTGAAATGTTTTCAAGAGGAGGGGGGGAAAAACGAAGAAAATCCTTTTGCCTTGTGGGAAGTCAGCCCCCCAGAGAAGGAAATATTAAAAGGGCAGAAAAATATATTTCCTCCAAGGATCTTAAAGAGACAGAAAAGCATGCCCAGTTTTTCAATAATGTATCACCACTTATATATTTAAAGAAATAGAAGCAGAAAGAGGAAAGTTTTGCAAGACAAAGTTCAGATGCAAACGGGGTGGAAACGAGGGCATCTGAAACAAGCTTTCAAAACAGGGAGTTACTGAAATAAGCAAACATTTGATCTTGATTCTACGCAGAACCTCCATCTAAGGATAGGACAAACACACCCACTCGGTAATCTCTGTCTTTCTACCTTGTCCCTGTAGTGTGGCCTTAAACTTGTGTATTTATTATTTGCTTTTTAATCCCACCTTTTAAAATATTTTTAATTATTAAATTTATCATTTTATTAGGGGTTAGATTTATTATTGTTTATTATAAGATGTTTAACTCAAATCTTATCCCCAACGTATCCAAGAAGCAGCTTTACACCATTCTTAGTTGTGTGAGTGATGTTTTCCCCCCTCTTAAATTCAGAAGAGACTACAACTGTTTTGGTGTGTGAAATCTACCACACTTTGCTGAAGATACTATTGGTGGAGGTGGTCTTCAGTGGGAGAATCGGAGGGGTGTCTGGTGGTCAGTTCAGGCTCTGTGGCCACATCCTCACTTCTCCAAACTCCCAAAGGATGAGCTAAAGGATGAGCAGAGGGTCCTGACCTCCAGACAAAAATCAGGGGTCTCCAAACTTAGCAACTTTAAGACCTGTGGACTTCAACTCCCAGAATTCCCCAGCCAGCATTCACCTCAAAGCCTGACCCATGCATTGGATGTTAGGTACCGTAAACCATCAAACAAAAATAGCTGGCTGGGGAATTCTGGGAGTTGAAGTCCACAGGTCTTAAAAGTTGCCACGTTTGAAGAGCCCTGACAAAGATGAACAATGATAATTTTGTAGAAAAGTCTTAACGTCTTCTACCCTGTGGCAGAAGAAGTTGGTTTCATCTTACAAAACATTTTAGAAGGGGCATTTAGTGGGATTTCTTTCTTTAGGACACGTGTAGGTTTTGTGCGTGTGTTGGTTCGAAACAGTCTCCTTCACGCGGATGGTCTCTCACAATTGCAAATTGGCCGTTTGTTACCAGCTCTGAAAGTTGTCTGTTTTCTCTTTAGTGGTTTTCATGTGACCCTCTAGTTAGTATATGAATATCATGGGATGCAAGTTTTCATCTCAACCCTTTTTTTTTTTTTGAAAGGGCTTCTTTCCGTTTTTCATTTTTCTCCAGTAGGACAAGGAGGATGAGCCTGACCAATGCAAAATGTCTGCACCAGCTTTGGAAAATGGAGACCTTACTCCATTCTCCTCTCCTGTGAGGAAGCTAAGGTAAACTAGCATGGTCCATAATTTCTAACCTCTGGAGGCACTGACATGGGTTGGGTTCTTCTTGCCCTGTGTAAAGTAAACCTTTTAGAATGGAGGCGGTCTTCTGGAAGGTGACTTTTGTCCCTTGTGACTCAAGCTGAAGACGGCAATATAACACGTTCGTTTGATTGTTTTACAGTATCTAAAATCCAATGCGTGGGTCAGACTTCGAGGTGAATCTGCATGAACTCATTCTGTCAGTGTAACACTGTAATTTTCTCTTTTAGTAGCATTGCTTTAATGAGTTTAGACAATTGGGTCTTCTGTTTTTTAGTTTGTTTTTATTTAGAAGATGTTTTTAATCCTACCTATTACTTTATAAGTTACTCAAGATGGCGATATCTAACTCCTTCCTACTCCTGTTTTTCCCAGAACCACAACCCAGTGAGGTGGATGTGGGAGAAAAGGACTGGCCCAAAATAGCCAGCCAGCTTTCATGTTTAAGGTGGAACTAGAACTCCCAGTTTCTTGGTGATCGGCCCAAAGTCACCCAGCTGGCTTTCATCTCTAAGCGAGACTAGAACTCACTGTCTCCTGGTTTCTAGCCTGCTATCGTAAATGCTAGGCCAGGGGTAGGCAACCTTTCATCCACTCACAATGGTTGCAGAGGAAATGAAATATTTTGTGGGGGTATGTACTATAGTGTTGCAACATCAGCAGGCTACAGGTGAAGACAAAATGAGACCTTCTCAACACCATGTTACAGATACCCCCAAAATAAAATCAACTTCTTTTTAATGAATATTCCAGCCAAAATAACAGCACGGTCCTGGATAGTGGGCAATTTGGGCATTGGGAGAAGCCTGGCACAGTCTCCTGCCTTGAGCAATGTCTTGGCACGCGACTTGCCTCCTCTCAAGACCACCAAGATATAAACCTGTGATGCACAGGCTGAAAACACCCGATTCTCCAGAAAGGCAACCATTGAGCCGAGGTAGTAGATCCCATGTCCGGAAATGGGGGAGGCCACATCATGGTTCATACATGACCTTGTGATCACAACAGTCCCAGTTGATCAGCTCGTTGCTGCAAAACCAAAGACGTATTTCTCTCTGCGCCGTCTCCACCGAGTCGCTGGCATGGACGACGTTCCTGTTTGTAAGAAAAAAGGGCCATGAAACATTCAGTTTGATGAGGGCGTCACCATGTCTTAGTCCAAAAGCTAAAAAGGATGGGACCAGGTCAGAACTTGGATGGGGCGCCAAGAATCCTACCTGGACAAATCCATGAAGTTTTCTTGGCAAGGTTTTTCAGAAGTGGTTTGCCACTGTCTCCTTCTTAGGGCTGAGAGGGAATGACTGGCTCAAGGTCACCCAGCCAGCTTTCATGCCTAAGGCAGCACTAGAACTCACCATCTCCTGGTGATTGGCCCAAGGTCACCCAGCCGGCTTTTCTGCCTAATGTGGGACTAGAACTCAGTCACCCAGTTCCTAGCTTGGTGGCTTAACCACACCACCAAACTGGCTCTTATTTGAACACAGAAGTTCCCAATCAGATTCCTTGGGCTCTTGATCAGCACCCAGTTGCTCTTGTACCTGCTCACGTGGATGCTAAAGTCACCTCGGACAGTCCCTGGCTTGGCTTCAGCTGGGTTGGTCTCTCCCACCATGGCTCTGGAAGTCTTGACCACATTGTACCCTTCCCACACCTACAGGGTGCAGGAGGAAAAAAAGACAAAGCAGTGTACTTTGACAAAAACCAGAAAGATAAACAGCACTGCTGGGATGAATTTAAGCTGAAGAAAGGTCACCTTTCTATTTTGTTTATGGCTCTAGTTCCTTAACTTTATTACAGTCATCCACTCCAATAGACTCTGCTCTGCCTGGATTCACACAACAGGCAAACCAAGGTTGACAACGGCTGAATTCATATAACATGTGTGGGTAAAATAATCCACATGATAGCATAAGACGACGATCTAGATTCTGTAGTGCTAAGACAAGGGGCCTGTTTCCACTGCACACTGAGCCAAAATCTACTCAGTGCCATTTGCCCAGTGTATGAGAACATCTGGTTGTGAGAATGTAGTAGCTGGAAACAGACACCACTTTAGATAGATAGATCTCATAGACAGATAGACAGACAGACAGATAGATGCATAGATAGATAGATAGATAGATAGATAGATAGATAGATAGATAGATAGATAGATAGATAGATAGATAGATAGATAGAGAAAGAGAGAGAGAGAAAGAGAGAGGGAGATAGAGAGATGTATATAAGATATAGATATATATACTGTAGATATAGATATAGAAATAGAGATAGAGATATAGAGAGAATGCAGTGCTGTCTGTCTATCAATCTCATCTATTGATCTATCTCATCTATCAGTCTATTTCTATCTCATCTCTAGCTATCTCATCTATTTATATCTATCATATCTATCTACCTCATCTATCATCTATCATCTATCCTCTATCCAGCTATCTCTATCATCCATCCATTCAACTATCTATTGTTCTTGGTGTGTGTTTGTGTGTGAGAGAGAGGGGGGAGGAGAGAGAGGGAGAAAGAGAGATTGACTTATTTTACTCCTGAAATAAAACTGGACATTCTAACCTTCTCCAGTATAGAAAACAACAGGACCAGTACAGAAAATCATTTTACCATGGCAACAACGGGCCCAGAGGTCATGTACTGAAGCAGCTCGTGGTAAAATGGCTTCCGGCGCAGCTCGTGGTAATGTTCAGCCAGGATCCCTTCGGAGGCCTGCAAGGGAAGGAACATCCCTAATGAAGCAGCGGCAGGAACCCTACTCACGCTTCCTTTACGGAGCAGACGGGCTGCATTCGATCCAGAAATGAGGACTTTTTTCTTGGTTCAGTCCTGAGATGCTTCTGCAGAAAGCCGATCCAGTTTGTACAATGTGGTTCCCAAGGTTAACTGAGCCACAGTTGGACACACAGACGAAGTGGCTTGTTTTGCAAATTCAAACCGTGTCTGGATTACTGATTTGACTGATGTACGGTATCGCTTTTCCATCAGGAGTTCAAGTTCAATATACAATCTAGGTAGTCCTTGATTTACGGCGCTGAAAAAAGTTGAAAGTCACTTCTTCTTTTTTAAAATCCTTTTTGCATTTTTCTTTCGGTCTTTTTCACTTTCTTAGCTCTTGTTTGTATTTGTATTTCACTTTATAATAAACTTTAACAGAATGAGCCCCCCCCCAAAGAAACAAACAAACAAACAAAAAAGTTGGTCATGTCATGAAAATGGCACCCCTAATTTCTCATCTCCTCCCCCAGCACAGGTGAGGGGAATCAGATCTACAGGTCTCAGGTATCCCCCAGTGCTTACCTGGAGCAACTTGAGGCCCACCAGTTTAAATCCCCGTTTCTCAAAGCGTTTGATGACGTCTCCCACCAGTCTCCTCTGGACCCCGTCTGGCTTCACCGCAATCAGCGTGCGCTCCTGCAGCTCAGCTACGCCTGCATGGCAAAGAAACAGCTATAAACCGGCACCAAATGGTCTTCCTCAAGGGGGTGATCCTATCAACCTGGGGAGACCACCCTGATTTCTGAGTGATTTAGAGGTGGCGAAAGGAAGGGAATTTTTTTGCAAGGAGTGGATTTGAACTGTGGAACTCCCTGCCACAAGATGGCAACGAAGCACTTGACTCGGAAAGAAGATTTGATAAATTCGTGGAAGGTTCCTGGTCATTACAGCTATTGCTATTATTGCTGTTGCTGCTGCTGCTGCTACTACTACTACTACTACTATTGCTACTACTACTACTACTACTACTACTATTGATCATCGCACAGTCAGCCAGATGTTCAGACTGGATTTGGCATTTTTGTCTACCTATTGAGTCTTTACCAAGGACCTGGGACAGGCAGATGTGGATGTTTGATGGCATTACAGACATCGTTGCAGGATGGAAGCAGTTCCCAGTAAGGCCACCTTTTGCTATTGACTAATGGCGAATTTGTCAATGCCGAGGATGGTGTTCAAGTTGTGCTCCAGTTGTTTTGGGATTGCATCCAAGGCACCTATTACTATTGGTACTACCCTCATTTGCCTTTGCCACAGTCTTTCTATTTCTATTTGTAGGTCTTTGTATTTTGTTATCTTCTCTAGTTCTTTCTTGTCTATTCTGCTCTCTCCAGGCACTGCCACGTCCACTATCCACTATATTTGTCTTTCTTATTGACAATTGTTAAGTCCGGGGTGTTATGTTGCAGGTGCTTGTCTGTTTGAATTCTGAAGTCCCAGAGCAGTTTAATTTTTATCATTTTCTATGACTTTCTCTGTTTTATGATCCCATATTTCTTGCAGATCTTCCAATGCACCATTGTTGCTACATTATTATGGATCATCGCACAGTCAGCCAGATGTTCAGACTGGATTTGGCATTTAGTCTACCTATCGAGTCCTTACCAAATTATTATTATTATTATTATTATTATTATTATTATTATTATTATTATTATTATTATTATTATATTTAACTATGGTTCAAAGAATAGGCCACAATTGGTTAGAGTCACCTACCATTCTAAGCCATGGTTCACAAAGGCTGGTGTGGGGATTCAACACATGCCAAGTCACAAAAAAACAAGCCAGGCTCAAGTTTTGCCTGCAGTTTGCCAGTTCATTTGTTCAGAAAGTCTCTGATTTACGACCAGCATTTCTGTGGCTAAGCAAGGTGGTTTTTAAATGAGCTGTGCCTCATTTTACAACTTTTACTATGGTAGTTAGTTGTTAAGCGAATCCAGCTTCCCTTACTTTGCTTGTTGGAAGCTGGGAAGCTTGCAAATGGCGATCATGTAACTGTGGGGATGCTATTGTAAGTGCAAAGACCAGTTAGTAAGCCACTATTTCACTTTCAAATGGTCGCTAAACAAATGACTGTAACTCAAGGACTACTTATAATTCATTAATTCATCATATTTGTATCATTTCCTGCTACTGGCAGTTTTTGTTCCAGGAATACAGGGCTAAATTGGTTTTTTTTTTTTTTTTAGGCGGTTCAGCACAGCTGTTTTTCAGCCCTTGGTGGCCTCATTAATTTAGCAGGCATTTGCTTCTATAAAAAAATGGAAAGTCGATGCTTCCACCAGTAAACAAGATGCTAGACCTCATTGTTATTGGCCAAGGCAAGGTTGGTCTCCTGCATGGAAAAGAGCAAGAGATTTGGAAATTGATCCCAAAGGAGCTTTTTCCAAAGGTAACTGGACTTTGTTTTTTCCTTGAAGACGTTTCACTTCTCATCCAAGAAGCTTCTTCAGTTCAGGAAAAAACAACATCCAGTTGCCTTTTAAAAAAAAGCACCTTTGGGACAACCATGTCCTGGGTGGCTGAGAATCTCCATAGACATTTGGAAGTTGAGCTGTTTTGTAACCTTAAACGCCAACTCTAGATTAAAACCAATTATTTCCCAAGCTTAGCAGCTTTAAGATGGGTGGACAGACCTCTGGGGAATTCTGGGAGTTGAAGTCCACACATCTATAAATTGCCAAGGTTGAGAAACACTGATTAAAGCAGTTTGATCCAGTTTCATAAGCGTCGCTTTCTCAACCCCTCCCCGGTGTTCCTGCTTCTTGGGATCACCCACTTCCTTGCTTTGATCCTGGGGATCAAAGTGCCATCTAGCTCAGCGGTTCTCAACCTTTTTAATGCCATGACCTCCAATCGGTCGTAAGTCGAGAACTACTCAACCGGTCGTAAGTTGAGGACTACTCAACTGGTGCAGCACCGTTTGCAGAATGGGACTTTTGGCGGGCTCAGCAGGGCAGAGACAGCCTGGACAATTCCTATTGGCTTTTGAAAGCCAATAGAATTAGACTCTATTCAAGAGAGTCTATTCTATTGGCTTTCAAAAGCCAATAGAATAAAAGGGAGTAGCACAGTTAAGGAAAAGGGGGAAAAAATGGCGGACTGCATTGTTTGGCGACCCCCGTGAAATGGTCGTTCGACCCCAAATGGGGTCCCTACCCACAGGTTGAGAACCACTGATCTAGCCGATCCCAATTCAGGGCTCTCTTGAGGTCAGCAAAGGGAAGCTGGACACGCTCCAAACACAGTGCCTGATTCCTGGCGATTAATTTGCTCTTTGGCAGTTGCCTGCCAAGACACCTGGCAAGGTGGAATTGTATGTCTCTGCAAGAAATGGGGCCACCCAGGCTTTGCGAGTCAAGCTGTGTGTGTAGGTGTGTGTGCAATTCTCTTAAGGAGTTGCACCTGTTTCTATAGCTACCGTTCCAGATCAGCACATGGGCAACTGTCTGGAAAAAAAAAGTCCCTAAAGGGGAAAAAACATCAGTCAGAAAAGTTGGATTCAGTCCTTGAGTTTGCAGGTGGAGTCATTGGTTAGACTTCATTAATAAAAAAATCCATTTGGGAAGATGGCCACCATCGGCTATTCACTTTGATTTAGAAGCCTACCTGACTTCAAAATGTATTCTGGGTGACTTAACCTAATACAAAAGAGCAAAGGAAAATTTATATAGTTTTTTTTCTTCAGAATCAGAGACAGGGGCCCTTGAATGCTACACTATTATTGTTGACCCAAGTCAAAAGCAAACGGGGGTCTTAACAGGACGTGTGAACTAAGCCAGACATGCGATTTGCATGGCTTCAGTCTTGTGGGCTGGGCGAGCCCAAGAGCTAAGATTTGTAATCTGTGGCTGGTAACTTAGTGTTTTGTACACAACTGGCCAAGTGTCCTTTATTCAATCATTCATAGTGAAGCAAAATTGCTTTGGTTCAGGAAGTCCATCTGTGTTTCATCAGGAGGTACCAGGTCCGATTTAGCACAGTTTTTGAGTTGCTCAAAGCTTGACTTAGCAACTTTTTTGTCCTCCATTTATCACTCCAAAGTTATGAGTATCAGCATAAGCCAACATCTCCAGAAATAATGTTTAGTCAACTGCAACTTTCTTCAAGCCTTAATTCTAGACTCAGCTACGTAGCAGGACCTAGTTGTCTCTTAATGAACAACCAATTAGCTGCTTCCTCGTAGAAAGGATCAGGATTCAATGGGAGAGCAATTGGTTTAAAGAAGATCACTCTTTGATATTAATATTCAGTGTTGACTTATCAAAAAGGGATTGGGAATAGGTCATGATGGTTGTGCCTGACAACTTGAGAGCAACTGCTAATTGAGCATGATTGGACCACTGGAGAATTTGTTCACACATCACACAAAAACATCGTTTCTTTTACTTGAGTGTAGCTGAAGCACTAGGATTCATGGAGCTGTAATCTAACTATCCATATGATGGCTTAACCCCAAGTGTGAACTCTGTTGTTGTCCAATTTATTATATGGCAACCTTTTATATTTCAGGGGATTATTTTCCTGGTCTCCAATTTAAAATTTCCCAAATATTGGTTTAAGAAGAAAGGCTATCATATCGTTCAAGACGATGGATGATCACAGCCTAATTCTATGAAAGTGACACAGTCCAACAGAGTCCATAGCACTGAAAATTACTTGATGGACTCCAACGGGTTTCTCTTTAAGAGAACTGCTCTCACTCTTAGGATGTTTTAAAATTAAAATGTGAATTCTATCCATTCTCAGCTTTGCAGAGGGAAAAACAGTTGAAGTGGTTGACCGATGCCCTCTAACAATTTTGAAGTCATCAATGAAAAAAAAAGAAGTAAACTGAGAACTGATCGCCTAGTCAGTTCCCAAGACTTTGAAAAAAGCAGTGAAAAGCATAAAGCTTTATGCTCCAGACTTTTTTTTGCCCCTCCTTTTCCCAGAGGTATTAACTTCCTGGTGATGGTGTATAAGTCTGGAAAACAAAGAAGACAGACGCCGAATATTATTTGAAAGGCAGGGAAGCGTAACCGGAAGGACGAGGCTGGGAAGAAGAAAGGATGAAGTTTAACTTCATATAAAGCTATATTGAAACTTGCAGCTTCATGCATCATGTAAAACCATGGTTTGCAGCTCAGTGTGTACAGTAAACCCAGGCAATTTACTCAACAAGCTGCGATTAAACAAACTTGGGGTTTTAGGCACTCAGATTTTGCTTGGGAATCATAAGTGGCAGGATCCACCTTTAACCAAAATAAATAAATTGCCGTGTTGCAAAGATAACAAATAACTCAAAAAGACCATTAAAGGAGAACATATTTAATTAAAGCCATGTTTTTCAAACTTGGCAAGATGGATTTCAACTCCCAGAATTCCCCAGCCAACATGCATGTATGCTGGTGGGGAATTCTGGGAGTTCTTAAACTTGAGGATGAGAAATACTAAATGAGAGGAATACTGATTATCGTTGTGATTTGTGCCTATCTTTCTGTTTCCCGATTATCCCCCTGTGGGTTGAAATTGATGGGTGTCAGGCTGGCTAGGAGTTGAATGGGAGACCACTAAGAGATCCTGTCTTTGCTGGCTAAGGCAGCGCACTTGGCAAAAGATCCCAAAGGAAGCCTTCACAGCATAACCACCAAACTCAGTTGTCCCAAGTGGGGTCCCCTTGTGTGGAAGCACCATCTGGACTTGGGGCACCATCTTGGTAGACTGATGCCACTCTGAATTCGTTAGCCTTTTCAGATCGTAAAATACTGTGATTCTGTGTGCAGGGCTGCAACTGAGGAACCTGGAACCTGACAAGAAGGTTCATCAGTGCTAGCGCTAGCCCTGTAAGGTAGGCCTGTGGAATGCCCGACTTTCAATCGGCCTCACTCAACCTGGCCCATCTCTAGAAAAAGTGCCCTTCAACTCCGAGAGGTGCCAGGAATCGGGTCAAGCTTCTCCAGTCCCCAGAAAGGAACCCCCAGCAATGCCCAGCCCACCTGCGCCTTGCCCTCGCTCTGGAACAGAGGTGCATCAAACGTGGCAACTGTGAAGACTTGTGGGTTTCAACGCCCAGAATCCCCCGTGCTGGCTGGAATTCTGGGAGTTGGAAGTCTCCCAAGTCTTAAAAGTGGCCAAGTTTGGACACCCGTGCTCTGGAGGATGGGAAGCTCGGGAAGCAAAAGCCCCGAAAGACGGCGAGCCCATCCCAACTGCCCCTCTCCCCCTTTCTGGAGAGAGCTTCTGCCAGATGTGCTCTTCCCCAACTCGGAGTTGTCAACCTGCGCCCGGCTGCAGCGCTGCTTTCCGCCTCCTTTGCGCCCAGGGCGCGCAGCCTTTTGGAGAGAGAGGCAGGCAGGCAGGCAAGAACTTGTTGCCTGCTTCCCTCGTGGGACCCCATCGCCCCCCTCCCCGGCCCGGAGCCCCTCCTTGCCTCACTCACCCGAGCCATACAGCCGCGCTCCGGGAAGGCGAAGGCAGGGCGCAACGGCCAGTGGCTGGAGGCTCCCCAAGCGCCACTGTCCCCGGGCCAGGCAGCGTTGCAGCACCCCCATCGCTGCCGAGCCGGGCAAGAGGGGCCGGCCGGGTTTATAGCCTCGGGGACCGCTGCTTCGGCTCCTGCAGCAGCCCCCTTGGCTCCACCCCAGGGCTGGAGGGAGGGCGGGCCGGGCGGAAGGCTGGGGGCTTTCCTTAAAGAGACCGACTAGGTGCCCGCCCAGCCCTCCTCCTCTTCCCCCCCCCCCGAGCGCAGCCGGGCCCCGGCGCGCTCCCGCGGAGTCGAAGCAAACCATGGCTTAACAACTTCTAGGAGTCTAGGACAGGTGGTGGGTGGCCTCTTTCTTCCGTCCCCGTTTTGATATCCCCCCCCCCAAAAAAAAATCGCCATAAAAACAATAAAAGCAAAAGGCTTTTTCTCCATCACTCCATGAGTTGGATGCGATGGATCAAGCAGAAGCGCAGATGGCCATTAGATGCCTCCCCCTCCCCTTTAAAACAAGGGGTGCCCCCAAGAAACAATCCATGCATGTAGCAGCGACACCATCGGCTGCACAAACAAAACCAAACAAAAGGAGGTGCACAATTTTTTTTTCGCTATACAAAGCCACTAGACATCTTCAAGAAGCCCTGGGTAAAATAATCTATAGAGCTTATTATTGTTGGGAAATACAGACACCGCTCTACCCTCGTGTGCAACATTAAAATGATTACTCCAGAGAGCGGAAATGTTCCACCACCAAGTCTGGAAAACAGACTACATGCTCCTTCATTAGCGGCTCTGATACTTCCTTTATTTACCATCCTCATTTCCTCCATCCAAATCATATTTCAGATTGGAATCTGGGTGGGACAAGACAATCCATAGGATCCACAGATCTGCTGCCCTGAAGTCAGTGGTGGGATTCAGCCGGTTCACACCACTTCGGCAGAACCAGTAGCTCATTTTTGGTTGCTCAGGCCCAGAATGGATTTCCGGAAGCGGCATCCACACAGAGAACCAGTTGTTCGCCTATTTGAATCCCACCACTGCCTTAAGCCTTCATAGTTTTTTGGCCCTCTCATAATTTCTGAATCTCCAAGCCAGATGAGCTTGCATTGTATTCAAAGTACAAGTGCTATCCTATAATCCAAGGGTCTCCAAACTTGGCAATTTCTCCACCGCTGGGGAATTCTGGGAGTTGAAGTCCACAGGTCTTAACGTTGCCAAGGTTGGAGACCTCTGATCTAATTAAAGAGATCTGAGTAATATAGATTGGAGCAGCTGAAAGTTCCTCCTCCACGGGCCCTTGGGACTTTTATAGGTTTAACCCAGCCCTGACACACATTGTACTGTCCAATTAATGAGTCGGGTTTCTCTACAAGTAGTTCTCAACTTAGTACCACAACTGGGTCCAGAATTTCTGTTGCTAAATGAGGCAACTGTTAACTGAATCATATACAAGGTTATGACTTTTGCCACTTAAGTGAATCACTGCAGTTTATTAGGTCATTTTTAGACATAAAGCAGCAAATATATTTCATATTTCTTCGTCCTATTCTCCCCACAACAACAATCTTGTGAGATAGGTAGGGCTGAGAGAGAGGGACTGGTCAAAGCCACCCAGCTGGCTTTCATGGCCAAGGCAGAACTAAAAACTCTCATGTCTCCTAGTGATTGTCCCAAAGTTACCCAGCCAACTTTCATGCCTAAGGCAGGACTAGAACGTGGGAGAAGTGAGCGACTGGCCAAACCAAGAAGACAGCCCAATGCAATCAGAATCCCTTGTTGAGATGGGTGGATAGAAATCAAATAACTAAATAAAATCATGCATACAAGTCAACTGACCTTTCCACAAGAGGAACAGTCCTCCAGCCAAATGCCAATCAGGCCTTGAACTACAAGTTTTTTTTCCGCAAAGTATTTCACTTTCTCCAAAGCTGTCCACTGACCCCCCAGCTCCCAATCTGGCTGCAATCCCTAGAGCTCAGTCTCAGAGTTCATTTAGAGCAATGACCCAGAGAAAATATTAGCATTATCATCAAGGATAGAGTTTTTTCCAGGCGTTAATTCCTGATGCGGCTCTTCAGTTCTCATACATAATTCTAGGTTGATGTTCTCTGTTTTCTCCAAAATTGCCACTTCTCCAAACTTCTCCTCTCCCTCCCTCCCTCCCTCCCTCCCTCCCTCCCTCCCTCCCTCCCTCCCTCCCTCCCTTCCTTCCTTCCTTCCTTCCTTCCTTCCTACCTACCTACCTACCCTCCCTTCTTCCCTTCCTTTTTCAGGTTTAGAATGGACAACAGCAGAGTGAGGGATGGGGCACACAACAATCTTATATTGAATCATTGAAACCATAAGTGCTGGAAGCTTTTCCGAGTAAACTGAACAAATATTTGCTCTTACCCAACAGATGGGCTCTATCTACAAGGAGGACCACTCTCAATTTCTGGCCTTTAAAATCCCCCCCCCCCGTTCCATTGTCCCAGCTTTTCCACTCATTTCCCCAAAATATTACCCCAACTTTCAATTAAAGCCAGTCCCCATTCCCCTACGCTGAAATACAAGTAGTCCTCAAGTTACGATCAGTCCCTTAGCGACTCACCCGGAAAAGGATACTTTTGATCCAGATTCAAATTTCCCACAATCAAACGCTCTAACAAAAGTGTGGGTGTTTGGCAACCATTTGCAGGGTGTTGGGAGTGGGGTGGGGGGTTCGTAAGACCGCTTTTTACGAAGTTTTGCAGAAAACTGGCTCTCACTTCCCATTTCTGGCAAAACTTCACCCATAGGAAACCACTGCTTTGCTTAAGAACTGCAATGCTTAACGCCCACTGTGTATGCTTAACGACGGCCGCAAACACCACCACAAAACTGGGTCACTCACATAAGCGACCCCGCTTCACAATCCCTAACCATGTCAGGCTAGGAAGACAAACTTTGTTTTTTTCTAAATATTGGTGTTTTAGGAAAGTCAAGCCGCAAATGTCGAAAGACACGGTTGCTTTCATCGGGCTCCAGACATTGTCCAAATAAATCCGTGCCCTTGGTCGATCGATCCCGATGAATAAAATACGCACAGGGGGTAAACATGCAACTTGCCACAAGGTTTTTCGCAAGCTACGGATCCCATGACCAGGCCAGGGACTCCGAGACCAGGTTTGGGACCAAAATCCACTCTAACCTTGGGCTGAGATTCCACATTTCAGCACCTACAAAGTCAAAGAATAAGGCATGGAGGAGGGGAAAAAAATGGGCCCAAAGAATTACAGCGTCTGGTCTGCCCAGATCGTCCTATCTGGAACAAAAATCAGCTGTGAGAAAATCCAGAGCTCCAGAATTAAAAATAAACCCAAGAACTGCCAACAGCATGAAAGCCCAGCATTGACAGAATTAATATGGTACAGGGGTTCAGGGATCGAAGCTGAAATATCCGTGCCTCAGTTTATCCACCTATTCACTACCTGGCCTTAAGCAGCTCACTCAGCGTCCATTTATCAGCCAGGAGGAGAAACACAGGGGCAGTCTATCTTATTAGGCTATTATGAAGAAAAGCATCTTTTTTTTTTTTAAAAAAAAAAAAATCAGTATAAAATAATGTAGTATACAGGTAGTCCTTGACTTACGATCGCAATTGAGCCCAAAATTTCTGTTGCTATGCGAGACATTTGTAAAGTGAGATTTGCACCGTTTTATGACCTTGCTTGTCATTGTTATTAAGGGAGTCAGTGCAGTTGCTAAATTAGTAGCACGGTTCTTAACTGGCTTTTTCCCCATTGACTTTGCTTGTCAGAAGATCACAAAAGGGGATCACGTGACCCCCCAGGACACTTCAACTGTCATAAATAGGAGTCAGTGGCCAAGCATCTGATCACATGACTAGCCCAGGGGTAGGCAACCTTGGCTCTTTTATGACTCGTGGACTTCAACTCCCAGAATTCCTGAGCCAGCATGGGGGAACTATGGCCCCCTCATGACTTGTGGACTTCAACTCCCAGAATTCCCGAGCCAGCATGGGGGAACTATGGCCCCCTCATGACTTGTGGACTTCAACTCCCAGAATTCCTGAGCCAGCATAGGGGAACAATGGCCCCCTCATGACTTGTGGACTTCAACTCCCAGAATTCCCGAGCCAACATGGGGGAACTATGGCCCCCTCATGACTTGTGGACTTCAACTCCCAGAATTCCTGAGCCAGCATGGCTCAGCTTGGAAACCTCTCCCTTTCCCCTCAGCGTGGCTGGTTCAGGAATTCTGGGAGTTGAAGTCCACGAGTCATAAAAGAGCCGAGGTTGCCTATCCCTGCTCTAGCCGTAAGCGTGAAAAACGGTCATATGTCCCTTTTTTCAATGCTGTTGTAACTTCGAACAGTCACTAAATAAATTGTTGTTAAGTCGAGGACTACCTCTACAGGGCGGAGTCAAAGCTAATTTACCGATCATCTAATCCAGGGGCTCACACAGCGCTCGATACATTTCACACCCCGAATAAGTATTAGGGCAATGTTTCCCAAACTTGACAATTTTAAGGCATGTGGACTTCAACTCCCAGAATTCCACAGCCAGCGTTGCTGGCTGTGGAATTCTGGGAGTTGAAGTCCTCATGCCTTAAAATTGTCAAGTTTGGGAAACACTGTATTAGGGGGACGCTGCAGTGACGGCATCTGGACGTCCTCGGACCTCAGGTCCTTCTAAGAGAGTCAGATTGCTTTCCCCTCTGTTTAAAACAACCAAGTAAGCATTTTTATTTCCATTAAGCACATTTTAGTATCACAATGGAATGATGAGGAAAATAAAACAAAACCACGGTTTTAAAAAATAATAATAATAATAAAAGAAACAGAAGTCGGTCTGTTGGTCTCTCTCTCGCGCGCGCTCTCCCTCTTCCAATCTCCACCAAGGGCAGGGAGGGTTCAAGGCATTGTAAAAAACAGCACACGGGAGGGGGGCGATGGGGAGGGACCCCATCCTCTCAGCAACGGGGAACGGAGGCAGCAGGTGGAATGGCATGAAAAGTGGGAAGACCCCCCCCCTCAAGTAGACTTTGGCGTTTCGGCCTCATGATTTGCTGCCCAAGCCGAGTCACCAGAACCTGCAGACTTGAATGAACGCCACGGTATTAAGACACAAACAGCTGGCCAGGACGAGCAGCCGTTCTCCGGGTTTCGGAGTCCCGGCGGGAGAAAGAGTGGCCCACTCAGGTGTGAAGTCGAGATGGGACCAAACGAAGGGAGGAGCACGGCCTCTGCCTTCCGTGCCTGGCCCACGCACGTGTGTGTGTGTTTGTAAGGGGGGGGGCGCTCTGCACCCCGAAGGGCCTGTCGAGGTCGCAGGCAGCGGCAACGCCAGATCCACTCCTTAACAGAGATTTGGAAACGCTGAGTCCGTTGCCGGCAGCTACAACTTCACGGTCCCCGGGGGCAAGCTGTCGTTGCAGAGTCTGTAGTAGCGCAGATCGTTGACCAGCCTGTGCACATTCTGGGTGAAAGATGGCAGATCCTAGGAAGGAGGAAGAAAACGGCAGAGGGAAGCGGGTTAGACGCAAAGCAAGAGTCTTTGCTAGTTAAGCTCTGATCAGCTGGAGGCTCAGAAATGCTGCTTGCAACAGGAGCCAAGCTTTACTCTGTCAGGGGGCTCCCCGGTGCTCTCTGAGCTGGGTGGTTTTGTTGCAGACATTTCATTACCCAACTAGGTGACATCATCAGTGCCAGAAGGATGTGGGATTAGCACTGATGTCACCTAGTTGGGTCATGAAAAATGTCTGCAAGAGAACAACCAAGCTCAGAGAGCACCAAGGACCCCATAATAATCCTCCTCCTCCTCTCCACAACCCCAACTCCCTTCTAGCACTGCTGATGTTACCTAGTTGGGTCATGAAAGGTCTGCAAGAAAACAGCTCAGAGAGCACCAAGGACTCCACAATCTTCTGCTTCCTCCTCCTCCTCATCTCCCTCTTTCTCCACTACACAAACCCCACTCCCTTCTAACCCTGCTGTCATCATCTAGATGGGTCATGAAACGTCTGCAAGAAAACAGCCAAGCTCAGAGAGCACCAAGCACCCTTCACTTCAACCCCGAGCTGCGCATATTCACCTTTTACTGATTTCTCTGTCGTTTTTATTGCTCGGTTTTATTAAGCTTTTATTTCCCCAAAGATTTTCTTGTACTTAAGTTCTGAGAGTCCAGAAACCCACCCTCCATGCCCCCCCCCCCGTGAAACTCTGGGACCCAGAAAGCAGCAGATTCTATAAAAAAGATCCCCCACATGATGGACTTCCTGGTTCTGAGTGAGCGTGATGGTGGGGACCCAGCCCAGGGGGGGCTTTGTAAACTTGGTTTAGGGATGAGTTTGACGTGTGTGAAAGCTTTAGTGTGAGAGATTGCAGATTGTAAGGCAGTGGTTCTCAACCTTTTTAATGCCGCAACCCCCGACCGGTCGTAAGTCGAGGACTACTCAGCCGGTCGTAAGTCGAGGACTACTCAACTGGTGCAGCACCGTTTGCAGAATGGGACTTTTGGCGGGCTCAGCAGGGCAGAGAGAGCCTGGACAATTCCTATTGGCTTTTGAAAGAGAGTCTATTCTATTGGCTTTCCAAAGCCAATAGAATAAAAGGGAGGAGCACAGCTAAGGAAAAGGGGAAAAAAATGGCGGACTGCGTTGTTTGGCGACCCCCGTGAAATGGTCGTTCGACCCCAAATGGGGTGCCGACCCACAGGTTGAGAACCGCTGGTATAAGGGAAAATGCTCAATTTTCAAAAGGATCTTGGGAAGGCTACATTTACCAAATACAGGGTAGCCCTTCACTTACAACAACAGACATGTCAAACTCACAACGTCACGTGACATCGCGCAACGTATCGGAGCTTTTTCGCCATTGCCGGCAATGGGGTGGGTGCGGCTCCAGTATCATGAAATCGGCCCACGGGCCGGCAATTAGACACCCCTGACTCACAACCACATCTGAACCCAACATTCCTTCTGTTAAATGAGACGTCTGTTAAGCGGGTCTTGCCCCATTTTACGACCTGTCTTGCCACAGTGCTTAAATGAATCAGTGCGGTTATTAAGTGAGTAACAGGGTTGTGAGGAGAACTTGACTTCTCCCTGGACTTTGCTCGTAAGACGGTCACAAACGGGGATCACGTGACCTGGGGGCACTGCGACCGCCATAAATATGAGCCAGCGGCCAAGCGTCTGGATTTTGACCACGTGACATGGAGATGCTGCAACGGTTGTTAAGTGTGAAAAACGGCCGTAAGCCACTTTTTTCCCCAGCCGTGCCGTCACTTCAGACGGTCACTATACAAATGGTGGTTAAGGAAGGAACGCTGGATCATACACAAGAAAGATATATTATTGTATGGGGAAGGTGGATAGATTATATTCAGAAAAAGTATGGAATTAAAAAGTTTCACTTATTTTATGAATGAATATTAAATATTATAGAGAATTGTTTCATAGGTTATGGAGTTAAAGGTTAATTATGATAAAAAAATTTCTTTTTTCTTTTCTTTTTTTTCTTTTTTCTTAATTATTATAAATTTTGTTATTATTAACCCTGTATTCTGCTCTGGGAAGCGAAGGGAGGGGGGTTGGGGGTGGGAGGGAGGGTAAGGGTTTTTTTTTTTCCTACTTTAAAATTTTATTGTATTTTTATAAATACTTGTATGTTAAAAAATAAAAAATTTTCAATAAAAAAAGAGGAAGGAACGCTGGCCACGACTGAGGACATTTTGGATTTATCAGCCTCCGCCGAAAACCAGGTGAGCTTTCTCAATCAATTTTCCTTTCCAACGGCATTATCTGATGAAAAGCCGCCGATCCAATGTGGAAACACGCAAGCAAACAATGCAAAGTCCATGGTTTCTGGGGAACAATTTCTATTTTTACGATTCTCGGAAAATAAAGCCGTGGTCTGCCTTCCCGGAACGCCACCCAAGAGGAGGACTGGGTGGAAAGAAACTCCAGGAACACTTTGGGATGGCTGTGCGAACGCCACGGGCGGGATTAAAATGTGACGGTCCTTCCGAGGAAATTCCACAGGCAGTCCTCGACTTAAGACCACAATGGACCCCCAAGTTTCTGTTGCTAAGCAAGACCGTTGTTAAGGGAGTTGGCCCCGTTTTGCAACCTTTCTTGTCGCGGTTGCTAAATGAATCACTGCAGCTGGTAAGTTAGTAACACGGTCGCTAAACGAATCTGACCTCCCCCATTGACTTTGCTTGTCAGAAGGTTGCAAAAGGAGATCACGTGACCTTGGGAACAGGGCAACTGTCCTAAGTACATGCCAGTTGCCAAGCCTCTGAGTTCTGATCATGTGATCATGGGGATGCCGCCACAGTCCTAAGTGTGAAAAACGGTCACTAGTGCCACGGTAACTTTGAACCGCCACTAAACGAACGGCTGTGAAGCCGAGGACCGCCTGTACTGGCCACCAGGGATAAAGGAGACCACCAGGGCAACCCCAGCCGAGCTTCAGCCCAAATTCACCCTGTCCATTTTGAAGTTCCTCCCCAGGACGTTTTTCTGGTTGGTGTCCACCCTGTCGCAGCCGGCTAAAAACCCCGGGAGGAAAGCCGAGTAGAAGCTGTCGAAGTCCACGGAGGCCATGTTGTAGATCGCGATGCCGATTTCCTCCTGCAAGAGGTCGTGGGATTTGTGGACCAGGACCTGAAGCAGCACATTCACGAACTGAAGGAGCATCGACGCCTGGAAGATCTTCTGCAGCAAACGGGAAACAACAAACAAACAAACCAAAAAAAAAAAACCAAGGTGAAAATGGGGGACCCCGCCCCGGAAATCTACCATTTCATTACAGATATATTTGTGCTTTTGTGGGGAGTTTTTCCAGAAATGGCATGTGCCGGGCTCTTGCCGAGTCGACCGTCCTTGATATGCAGGCAGTTGTGGGAAGAATATTTTCTGACGGTTATCAACCCCCTCTGCTTTCAGAATAAATCCCAGCTCACCTTGTGGTACAGTTTCTGCTTGGTGTTCAGAGTCTCCAGGTAGAACAGGTTCTGCTTGAACAGGTGTATGTCCGGCTGCAGGAAGGACTGGCCGAATGCCTGGGGAACAGACAGGTCTCAGGAGGGTGTGGCTGAGGCCCAGTGGCGACAACTGATGGCACTGAGAGATTACCTTTCTAGCAGCACAGAATGTGGACATGCACTAAAGGAACTGCTTCAGCTTTCTTGGGAACAGTGTGCATTAAACTACTGGCCAGGGAATTCTGGGAGCTGGCATCCATATATTTTAAGACAAACTAACCTTTATTGTCATTTTTTTTTTACTGCGAGCACACTGGCCCACATTAAATATGACATTCTGTGGCTTGCTCTCAAAAGAAAGTATATATCTACCCACACACATACATAACACACATACCGGTGGCAGCACACAAAACCACACACTTTCTGGTCCATGGAAAAACCTCTCTCCCTGGAACTGATCCCTGGTGCCCAAAAGGTTGGGGGGGGGGGAGAGAGAGAGAGAGAGAGAGAGAGAGAGAGACAGACAGACAGACAGACAGACAGACAGACAGAGACAGAGAGGAACTACCTCCCTCTTGCTTTATTGAGTTTTTCCAGATGAGCCGGAACGACGAGAATTCTGGATTTTTGCTTGTAAGTACAATAGATACCACAGCTACTGGAAGGTGCCATGCTCTTGTAACTATTCGTTATTATATTATGAAACCCGTTTAAGAGGGCCAAAATCCCACTTAAGGAACAGAGCAAGGCCTGATGCATCTCTCTAGCTGCGATTTCAGCTTTTGTTGCTGGCTGTTATGATAAACCGGACCGTCAAAGAACACGGTGGCTGGACACCATCAAAGCTGACCCCAGCTAGAGCGTAGAAAAACTCAAAGTATTACTGCAAGATCAGAAGAGGTGGAGAGACCTGGCCCACAGAATCACCCAGAGTCGGACCCGGCTGAACGGATAACCTCCTGCTCCTGATTTTATGATACCTGCATAATGCCAGTGAACTGGGCTTCGTTCTCCATCTGCTCCTCGGCTACTCCTCTCTGGACGCTGGCCAGGATGTTGGACTTGAAGAAGTATCGCCAGTTGTGGTGCAAAATCCGAAAAAGAAGCTCATAGAGTTCAGCTTTCACATCAGGAGAAGATCGCTGGGAGGAAAGAAAAGCACACGGGGTTTGCAACAGGTGCTTCTGACTGGGCTGTTCTGGTCAAAGGCAGATGAACGCCAAAGACAGTTTGACATAGAGGGGTGCTCAGACCAGGGCAGATGCTAACAGGGACCAGAAGTTATTTAAAAGTCTTACTTCTCTAAAGGGGTCAGGGTGGGATGGGGTGGGGATAAGCTGCTTCTTCAATAAACACAACGAGTAAAATAAAAGCACTGATCAGCACATTTGTTTGTTGATTACTGCTATTTCTCTTGTCTTGGTGATTCTCAACCTGGGCAGCTGGATTCAACTCCAGCCAGCGTTCCTGTCAATTTCACTCTGTTGCTACCTGCCAGCCTTACCGCGTAGACCGGACTAGGAAGTCAATTTCACAGGAAAGCTAAATCCGCTTTTATTGATATGGGCGATCAGAAGAGAATCTCGCAAGTCTGCTTGTGTTGGACCTATGCAACGCCTTATGTTCCAGTGAATTAGGGAGGTTTCACTGTGTCAGCCCCTTTTGCCTCGGCAACGGCTTCTGCGCATCTCCATCAAGGGCGCCTTGCTCAGTTTACCAGCTTCATCCCAGAAAAGGTGGAGTGGAATGTGGCACAGGTTCACAGGAAGGAGGGGGGGGGTCTTTCCCAAGGGGCAAAAAAGAGGCAGCTCAGAATGCAAGCCTTGGTGTGCAGGAAGAGAAGCAGGGCTGGCCCTCCCTAACCTTCCACAGGGTGTATCCAATAGTGATCAGATTTGTGCTTTAGTCTGGCAAGACTCCTGTCCACAGGTGAGCAACAATAAAGAAACTATACTGAAGGAACTCCTTGGGTCATTCTTGATGATCAGGGGACTGGAGGCTAAAGCATACAAGGAACAGTCGCTGGAATTGGGGATGTCTAGTTTAACAAAGTGAAGGATGAGGGGGGACATGATAGCAGTGTTCCAATATCTCAGGGGCTGCCCCAAAGAAGAGGGAGTCAAGCTCTTCTCCAAAGCCCCTGAAGGCAGGACAAGAAGCAACGGATGGAAACTAACCAAGGAGAGAAGCAACCTGGAACTAAGGAGAAACTTCCTGACAGTGAGAACAATTAACCAGTGGAACAACCTGCCTCCAGAAGTTGTGGGTGCTCCAACACTGGAAGTTTTTAAGAAGAGACTGGACAGTCATTTGTCTGAAATGGTATAGGGTTTCCTGCCTGAGCAAGGGCTGGACTAGATGATCCCTTCCAACTTTATTATTATTATTATTAATCATCGCACAGTCAGCCAGATGTTCAGACTGGATTTGGCATTTTGTCTACCTATCGAGTCCTTACCCAGGACCTGGGATAGGCAGATGTGGATGTTTGATGGTATTACAGATATCGTCGCAGGATGGAAGCAGTTCCTAATAAGGCCGCCTTTTGCAATTGACTAATAGCGAATTTGTCAATGCCAATGGTGTTCAAGTGGTGCTCCAGTTGTTTTGGGATTGCACCCAAGGAGCCTATACTATTGGTACTACCCTTGCTTGCTTTTGCCACAGTCTTTCTATTTCTATTTGTAGGTCTTTGTATTTTGTTATCTTCTCCAGTTCTTTCTCTTCTATTCTGCTGTCTCCAGGCACTGCCACGTCCACTATCCAGACTTTTTTGTCTTTCTTATCGACAATTGTTAAGTCTGGGGTGTTATGTTGCAGGTGCTTGTCTGTTTGAATTCTGAAGTCCCAGAGCAGTTTAATTTTATCATTTTCTATGACTTTCTCTATTTTATGATTCCACCAGTTTTTGCTTACAGGCAAATGATATTTTTTGCAGATCTTCCAATGCACCATTGTTGCTACTTTGTCATGCCGCTGCTTGTAATCAGTCTGTGCAATCTTCTTGCAACAGCTTACCAAGTGGTCCACTGTTTCTTCAGCTTCTTTGCATAGGCGGCACTTACTGTCTGTTGCTGTCTTCTCAATTTTGACTTTGTATGCATTTGTCCTTAAGGCTTGGTCTTGTGCAGCCAGAATTAGTCCCTCGGTCTCTTTCTTCAATTTTCCTGCTCTTAGCCATTGCCAGGTTTTATTATTATCTGCTTTCCCAGCTATTTTTTTCATGTATTGGCCATGTAGTGCTTTGTCTTCCCATGCCTCTATTCTGTTCTTCATTTGGTCTTTCTTGTAGGCCAGTTTGGTCTCTCCAGTAGTTAGTAAGCCTTCCTGATATACTAATTTCAGTGCATCTTCATCATTGTTCTTCAGATATTCTTCCAAAGCCATTTTTTCTTCTTCAACCATCTGATGTACTTGTAGCATTCCACGCCCACCTATTTGCCTTGGTAGATAAAGTCTATCAATGTCACTGCGTGGATGAAGGGCATGATTCATTGTCATTATTTTTCTGGTCTGCCTATCCATTGCTTTTAGTTCTGCTTGAGTCCAGTCCACTATTCCAGCTGTGTACCTAATGACTGGGATTGCCCAGGTGTTGATTGCCTTTATGGTATTTCCTCCATTGAGTTTGGATTTTATTATTATTATTATTATTATTATTATTATTATTATTATTATTATTATTATTATTATTATTATTATTATTATTATTATATTATTATTATTGTTGTTGTTATTGTTGTTGTTGTTGTTGTTGTTACTGTTATTATTATTTATCTCGTTGTTTGGCCAACGAGTATGGGCAACGTGGACGGATGATGAGTCAGCCCTCCACAGCGTCCCCTGTCCCCGTGGTGTAAAAACTAACTACATCTCCTGGTTTCGCCCTCGGAGGCTGCTCGTCCTACCTCAGCAACGATGGGGTAGACTTGCTCCATGCAAAGTGCGATGATATTTGGCAAGAAGGGCTTGAACACCTGGCCGGGCTCCTGCACCACCACCTGAAGGATCTTCAGGAACTTCTCCACCACCCGGCAGCCGGTGCTCCCGTCGTGGAGGATGCTCTCGGCCAGCTGCTCCCTGTGGCAAGACACACAAAAGCCGGTGACTTTAGAACAGTGTTTCTCAACCTTGACCATTTTAAGGCATGTGGACTTCAACTCCCAGAATTCCACAGCCAGCAATGCTGGCTGTGGAATTCTGGGAGTTGAAGTCCACATGCCTTAAAATGGTCAAGGTTGAGAAACACTGCTTTAGAGAGATGCTCAAAGCTGGGGGTCCCCTCCACCTGGACAGCTGGCCAAGAGTCAGCAACATGGGGAGGTCTCCTGGTAGGCTGAGCCAGCTTCAGAGCTCTGTATTAAATTCTGGGTCCAAGGAAACCCAAGTAGAGTGATGGGAAAAGCCAGCCGATTATTTATCGGATTTTTTTTAAATCCCACCTTTATCATTTTTATAAGTAATTCAAGGTGGGAAACATATCTGACACTTCTTTCTCCTCATATTTTCCCTACAAGAAGGAACCAGGTGGCTTGGGCTGAGAGAGAAAGGGACTGGCCCAAAGTCACTGAAATGATTTTTACGCCTAAGGTGAGACTAGAACTCCCAGTCTCCTGGTGATTGGCTGGAAGTCCCCTAGCTAGCTTTCCAGGTGAGCCAGAACTGTGAGAATTCTGGGACTAAAGTGAGACTAGAACTCTCCGTTTCCTGGCAACTGGCCCAAAGTCACTTAGCTGGCTTTCATGCCTAAGGCGGGACTGGAACTCACAGCTACCTGGTTCCGAGGCCAGCACGTCTGCCACTAATCCTAACTGGCTCTCAGTGATATTTTAGTTCTATGCCTAGGGCAATGCTTATTAATGGGATCCCTCAATCTGGAGGGATCAATGCTGACCCCCTCCCCATCCCAATTTCCCACCAGTTCAGTTACTAGATCCTTGACAGGTGAACTGACACCTGCCTTTTTAGTAGCAAAATCTTCCCTATAACCCAGCAGTTCTCAACCTGTGGGTCGGGACCCCATTTGGGGTCGAACGACCATTTCACGGGGGTCGCCAAACAACACAGTCCACCATTTTTTCCCCTTTTCCTTAGCTGTGCTACTCCCTTTTATTCTATTGGCTTTTGAAAGCCAATAGAATGGACTCTCTTGAATAGAGTCTAATTCTATTGGCTTTCAAAAGCCCATAGGAATTGTCCAGGCTGTCTCTGCCCTGCTGAGCCTGCCGAGAGTCCCATTCTGCAAACGGTGCTGCACCAGTTAAGTAGTCCTTACGACCGGTTGAGTAGTCCTCGACCTACGACCAGTTGGGGGTCGCGGCATTAAAAAGGTTGAGAACCACTGCTATAACTACTCAAGGTCAACATGACAACCAATGGACACTTCTTGGATTTCCACGGAGGCATTACCTGGTAAACATGTTGAGGAATGTTTGTATCACCTGCTCGGTGAAAGGCACCCCCATCTGCACCCTCAGACTTTGGAACAGGGTCAGGAAGAAGCTTAGCATTTTGTCTGTTACATCTGACAAACAGAAAAAGAGGAGGCAAGAAGAAACAAGGATCAGAGACATGAAAGCTGTTCTTCTTCCCCAGTGAGTTTTTCCAGTGTGTATCCCACATCAGATAGACAAGGCCACGGACACTAAGACATTAACTCGTCTCTCCCGGTATGGGTCTGAAGTGGAGTGGTTGATGACAAGGCTCTCCAAGGCACTAGTAATATTAAAAAGCCAAATTTAGCCTCTTTGTGTCAGGGCAACAGCTTGGAATGGTTTCTCTTAAACTCTAGCACGGGTTTGTGTGTGTGTCCAACCTTGGCAACTTTGAAGATGTATGGACTTCAACTCCCAGAATTAGCCAGCCAGGAATTGAAATCCAGAGTCCAGAGACTACAGTTGAGCTATCCAGCAGTGAAATTCCACTGAATGGCAACCGAGTTTTTAATTAATTGTGTTTTAATTATTATTTGTTCAATGATGCAATCTTCGATCTCCGGGAAGGGTATAATCTAGTTATTTATTGTTAAAACAGTATTTAAAACAATAAAGAACAGTTATATACAAGGTTAAAAGAACTTAGCTTTCGCTGGTCCTCTGCCAGCGTCCTCAGAATGGGGCTTAGAGTTAGAGAAGTTTGTTTTATTCTCCTGCCGATCTAACTGCCTGCTCATTGTTCAGTTAGATCGGCAGGAGAATAAAACGAACTTCCCCACCCTAAGCCCCACTCTGAGGACGCTGGCAGAGGACCAGCGAAAGCTAAGTTCTTTTAACCTTGTATATTACTGTTTTTTATTGTTTTAAATACTGTTTTAACAATAAATAACTAGATTATACCCTTCCCGGAGGTCCAAGATTGCATCATTGAACAAATATGCCCGGGATTCATATTTTTACAACCATTAAGGATAATTATTATTTTTATATTTGATTTATTTTGATTTCATTTTTTTAAATTTTTGTCAGATGATGGGCAGGGAAGACAGAAGGTGGATATCCTTCAAAAAGCAGGCCCGATTTATTGAACACAGGACTGAAGAATGATCATATTAACATCAAGCTTCAATGGAAATGACATCCAGTTTAATTTTTGCCCTGCTCTTGTCCTTCTTCTTTGGACCAAGGTATTTTGTATGATCCAAGATGGCCCTGCTTTAATTTGAGACGGACATATTAAGTTGGATGGGCTGGGGGAAGCTGGTGTGGGTGGATACCTGACTGATGAATGAAAGCTGGGAAGAGGGCAAGGGACACCTGGACGGACTCCTGCAGTGACTGGTAGCAGATCTGGCGGGACTTGGTGGCTTCCCCAGAGACGCTCTCCACAATATCTTCCAGGACACTCAGAGTCTGGTGGATGAGGACTTTTGCTGCAAGATCAAGAGTAAACATGGAAACCATCACCCCACAGCAGCGTCAGCAACTACATTCAGAAGGGAAAGCAGGCAGTGGGTCGGCCTTCCCCAGCTGGACCTTCCACAAGAGCTGAGTTCCCTGGGAAAGGCATAAAGACTTCCAGGAACTCCATCCCAAAATAGGCTTCTCTTGCAGCGCCACACCTCACAGGATCGGTAATCCTTGACTTACGACCAGTTGCTTAACAACGGTTTGACGTTCCAATGGACCTCTCTGCGGGGGGGATACAAGTAGTCCTTGATTCACAACCATTTATTTAGTGACTGTTCAAAGTTACGATGGCACTGGAAAAAGGGACTTATGATCATTTTTTTTTTCATATCTGCACCGCCTCCAGGGTCACGCGATTCAATTCGGAGGCTGGCAACTGATTCACATTTATGACGGTCGCAGTGTCCCCGGGGTTACGTGATCCTGTTTTGTGACCTTCTGACGAGCAAATTCCATGGAGGCAGCCCGATTCACTTCACAACCGGGTTACTGACAACTGCAGCGATTCACTTAACAACGGTGACAAGAAAGGTCGTAAAGTGGGGCAAAACCCACTTAATGATTGTCTGTCTTAGCAACGTAAATCTGGGGCTCTCAACTGTGGCTGTAAGTCGAGGACTACCTGTAGAGTAGGCGGGGTCTTCTGAAAAGTAGTAGCTCTTCTCCTGCTGAGATTTATTGTTTCTTTTTGGACTTAATGGTAACACCCACCTTCAACTTTAATTTATGGAAGTGCCATGCCCCAGATTCCAGAAATTCAGGAAATATCATGGGAGACTGGGGAGGCAATATTTTCTTTGTGTACCAGAATAAATCTTCCTATCCACTACTGATCCTATTGCCTGAACATGTGATCAATGACTACATAAAGGCAGGCACGTACCTAATTTTTCTTGTGTCGTCCATTTCTAAATATCGGGGTGAACAAATTCCATAAATAGGTTAGTTTGCAAAAATGACACCCCTGGCAAAGCGTCTTTGCACAAGGGCGCAGGCCGTTTCTCAAAGGGCTTCATTTCAGACTGTTCCCCAGCGCGGCTTTTTTACGAAATGCCCTCTTGCAAGGCCACAAATGGCAACCTCAAGTTCTAAACACAAAACTCTATCTTGAGTCAGCCCACTTCTGAAAGAGCTTCAGTTTTGCCCATGTAGAAGTTGTTACGAGGATTTTTGCACTGAATACAGTCCGAAAGAAAACATTTTGCACGCTGCTAATTACTTACAAGAGCTACACTAAGCATCAGTGATGCTGGCTGCATGCAATTAGGTTCAAACCAGTTTTAATAAATGTAGTTATTTATAGCTCTCGTGTCAAGGCAAAACATCTTGACAAAGCTGAGGCTAATACAGCTATTAGTATAAACATCACTTGCAAACGATATAACAAAAATCCAATTTAAAAGCTTTCCAACCCTTTTTCTTTTTTCCAACAGGCTTTAAGTTGTTTTAATACTCTTACCTCATCCCCAAGCATTCTCTTTTTATCTGAAAATGGATAGCATTTCTCAAAATCTCAGGGAAAAAAACAAAACCCCCACAGCCTGTTCAAGTTTTCAAAGAAAGCTTGGGAACATGAGCTGTTGGGACAAGTTCTTTGAGGATCAAAAACAGGAATTTTTAAGCTAAACAAAAAGCATATTTGCATGATGTCTGCCAACTTCTGGTCCTACCAGCGGCTTCTGGGAAAAATGCTTAATCTCTTTCTGAGCGAAGGCACCATGGGTGCTTCAGGTTGCTTTGTTTTTAAAAACTCATCTGTTGAGTTCCATTGGAACGAAGGATTTATCTGGAACCTTGCTACTACATCACCATCATCATTCATCATTCATCATCACCTCCTCCTTCTTCTAGATTGCACCATCAGTGTCTAAAAACCTCACACATTTCTCGTGCAAGCTCCAGGATACCTACCAAGGTGGAGGGGTGCCACTTACAGCAGTGATGGCGAACCTTTTAGAGACCGAGCGCCCAAACTGCAACCCCAAACCCACTTATGCATTGTCGAGTGCCAGGTGGGTGTGACCCATTGTCTGGGCATGGCCCATTGGGTGGGCGTGGCTGCGGTGGTAACGGCAGACTGGGTGGGACTAAAAAGTTCAATCAATCAATTCCAACTTTGCAAGATCTTTCTTTTCCTGCGAGAAGTTGAAATTGACTAAACCTTTTTTTTTTTTTTTTGCACATGGTGGTGGAGGCCTAAAGCGAAAAGGTTTTATAAAACCCAGCTGAAGGCCTAGGACTGGGGCGATGGCACGCGTGCCCACAGAGAGGGCTCCGAGTGCCACCTCTGGCACCCGTGCCATAGATTCGCCACCACTGACCTATAGAATGTAGCTTCTAGTTTAAATCTGGGCTGGATTTTTTTTGCTTGAAAAGCTGAATACAGAATAACAGAGTTAGAAGGGACACTGGAGGTCTTCTAGTCCAACCCTCTGCTCAAGCAGGAAACCCTATGCTATTCCTGACAAATGACTGTCCAATTTTTCTTAAAAGCTTCCAGTGATGGAGCATCCACCACTTCTGGAGGCAAGCCGTTCCATTGATTAATTGTTCTAACTGTCAGGAAATTTCTCCTTAGTTCTAGGGTGCTTCTCTCCTGGGTTAGTTTCCACCCGTTACTTCTTGTCCTGCCTTCGGGTGCTTTGAAGAATAGGTGGACCCCCTCTTCTTTGTGGCAGCCCCTCAAATATTGGGGCACTGCTATCACGCTATCCACAGCCGTTCTTTTCATTTAACTAGACGTTAAACTAGATTTCAGTTCTGAGTTCTAAATTCTGAGGAAAAACCTTGCTTTTCTTGGGATAAGCGAAGGAAAATGCTCCCTTACAGGAATTCAGAAACCCCAGTAAGGAAGAAACGAAGATCAATAATACTTCCAAAACACAGCCTAAAAAAAGAGAGGCCTGCTCCGACATATGCCAGGAATTCAGTAGCCGTTTTCAGCCAGCTACCTAAACAGGGACATAAACGATGCTCTCAAAAGCCACCCTAAGCATGTGGCTAGTCCCCAATGTCTGCCGGTTTATGACTGCTGAAAGTCTGGCCTGGGGCGACTTACTATTGTCCTGCTGGTTTTTCCTCTGGGGCAAGATGGCACTGGATTTCAGGCTGCGGTAATCCCTGGTGAGGGCCGAGATGAGGCTGGCATGGTTAGTTGAACGAATGGCCCACTGCTGTTCAGCTTCCGGGAGGTTTGGCCACGGGAGGAGCAGAATGTTTGACAGCGACCTGCACAAGAGGATCTGGGCCTGCAGAGAGGAAGATCAACCAAACTGAAGGCTAGAGAGAGGAAGAAGCAACCAGGAGCTGCTCTCCGACCCTGCTATTGCAGAATACAGAATAACAAGAGTTAGAAGGGGCCTTGGAGGTCTTCTAGTCCAGCCCCCTGCCCAGAGGAAACGGCTGTCCAATCTTTCCCTCAGGTTTTGTTTCAGGAACAAGAGCAAAAGTACTTGTGTTTCCAACTGACCCCAGAATGCCTGCCCATCTAATCAGCTGCTTCAATAAACACAACGAGTAAAATTAAAATCACTGATCAGCACATTTGCTTGTTCATTACTGCTATTCCTCTTGTCTTGGTGATTCTCAACCTGGGCAGCTGGATTCAACTCCAGCCAGCGTTTCTGTCAATTTCACTCTGCTGCTACCTGCCAGCCTTACCGCGTAGACCGGACTAGGAAGTCAATTTCACAGGAAAGCTAAATCCGCTTTTATTGAGATGGGCCATCAGGAGAGAGAATCTCGCAAGTCTGCTTGTGTTGGACCTATGCAACGCCTTATGTTCCAGTGAATTAGGGAGGTTTCACTGTGTCAGCCCCTTTTGCCTCGGCAACGGCTTCTGCGCATCTCCATCAAGGTCGCCTTGCTCAGTTTACCGGCTTCGTCCCCGACAAATGTGGTATAGGTTCACAGGAAGGAGGGGGGGTGTCTTTCCCAAGGGGCAAAAAAGAGGCAGCTCAGAATGCAATCCTTGATGTGCAGGAAGAGAAGCAGGGCTGGCCCTCCCTAACCTTCCACAGGGTGTATCCAATAGTGATCAGATTTGTGCTTTAGTCTGGCAAGATTTTGTTTCAGGAACAAGATAAGATAAGATAACCTTTATTGTCATTTTTTTTTACTGTGGGCACAACGGCACACATCAAAAATGAAATTTAGTTGCCCGCTTTCAAAGTGAAACACATACATGACACACACCTAAAACATACTATGTACAACATATGTATAGACCCACATCCCTACATATACGTAGCAAATAAATATTAAACACTGTCCATCTTGAATATATAAAGGAAGGAGGAAGCTTGAGAATTCGCAAGGTTAATGCTGTATGGAATGAAACTCTGGTTGAATCTGGATGTTCTGCTTCGGATACCACGGAGCCCCCTCCCCCCAGAAGGGAACAAGGAAAACAGGCCGTGAAGAGGATGTGTAGTGTCCCAGATAATCTTACGGACCCTGCTCAAGCAGCGCTTCTGTGCCAAGTCCTGGATGGGAGGGAGGGAATTGCCAATGATCTTTTCGGCCGTCCTCACCACTCTCTGCACCGCCTTCCTGTCTACTTCCAAACCAGACTGTGATGCTGAAAGTACTGGCGTTTTAAACTGACCCAGAATGCCTGGCCATCTAATCAGGATGCCTCAGCTTGGTCCCCCCCCCCAAGTTGTCCTTACCTTATCCGAAAGGCGCTGAGCAGAGCTGTCGGTCATCCTGTTGAACATTTTCTGCACGGTTGGGACTCGAATGAGAAACACGGGCCGCACGGTGGTGGCCAAGGAGACGAGCAGATGGCAGGCTGACAAGAGCAGCTTCTCCTGCACCTGGAGGCAGGGCAGGGCAGGGCAGGAGAATGATGGGAGGAGAGAGGGAAGGGAGATTAAAACGAGAGACTGCTGGGGGAAAAATAAATAAATGAGAGGCTTTATTTAAGGTCAGGAAATGGACCGCGTTTGAGAGGTCAGATGTTTAGAGAAAAGCTGCAAAGGAAACACTGGCCCCTGGGAACCACTAAACTCAGCTTAGCCAAGTCCTGCTTCTCTGCAATGCCCTCTGAGGCTGCAGGAGAGGAACGTCTAGAACAGTGTTTCTCAACCTTGACAATTTTAAGGCATGTGGACTTCAACTCCCAGAATTCCACAGCCAGCAATGCTGATCTAGAAGAATTTGCCTCCAGAAGCGGTGAGTGCTCCAACACTGGAAGTTTTTTAAGAAGAGGCTGGACAGCCATTTGTCTGAAATGGTGTAGGGTTCCCTGCCTGAGGTTGGACTAGATGACCTCCAAGGTCTCTTCCAACTTTTTTATTATTATTACTATTATTATTATTATTATTTCATTCAGCACGGCACTCAGAAAGATGGGCTGGCCTCCATCTTTTGTCACCAATGTTTCTGCCGATTGCGGATTTTAGGAGCAGCAATTTAGTATCTCCAGAAGTCAGGATTTGGGGGGAGGAGCAGTTAATTCCCTTTCCCCCTCGTAAGACAGACCTGAACTGGGGAAAAAACAACAACAACTGGATCTCCAAGAAGGCTGAAATCGACCAGTTCTCTAAAATACAAAGGACCAGGCAGAGGAGAAGCAGGAATTCAGTAAAACATCTGCCTCTGTTCTGGATTGAGATGGTGAGTTCTCTGCCATTCACCTTCCTTTCCCCCCTCCTCCACCCCCCCAACCAGAAAAGAAGCTTAGCAAAGCTGAAAATGGAGCTCTGGAGCAAGAGAAGGCATCTGTCAACAGATAAAAACAACGCCTGGCCACGGGACGAGAAAATGGAAAGCTGGACAGAAGATACCTTAGAACTGATCAACGGAGCAATCGCTTCCAAAGCAGTGGAGACCAGGGAGACAAACTGGGTCAGGTTCTGCTGATGAACCTCGCCGTAGAACTGGGCCAGCCAGTGGCAATAAGCCTGCAGGGCTGCCAGGGATTGTGCGTGTCTGGAAAGAGAAGGAACCTTGAAGTTAAAAAGGAAGGAGAACGCTTGGGGAGGGATGTGTGCCATAAGGCAATCTTTCTTAACTTTATGACCGGTGGACTTCCAACTCCCAGAACTCCTCAGCCAGCCATGGGAGAATTCTGGAATTCTGGGAGTTGAAGTCCACCGGTCTTAAAGTTGCCACGGCTGAGAAAGACTCCCACTGGCCTCTGTTGTAGGATACTCTATTCATCACCAATGAACGTATCTCAAATTATATGGATTGATTTTATTTCCCAGAGGTGAAAGGGAAAAGATTAGGTCATCGTTAGTAAGAGTTAATGCACCCAACGTATCCAGCGTTAGTACAACAGCATTAATAGCTTGTCTCGTGTTCTTTTGCAAATGGGATGGAGGGCCAAAGGGCTCAGGGTACAGGAGCTTATTTGGCTGGGGTGAAATAAACAATACTGAGGACAGCAGGAGATTAGCAGAGATGGTAGGGCTGAAGAAATCAGGGATCTTAAGCATCCCACCATATTTGGGGCCAGGGGTTTTCTGTCAAAGGCTACCAACAGATTGCTGATAAATGGGACGTGTGGGAGAAGAGAAGCCAGGAGGAACACTTCTGGGATCCATGAAGACTATCAAAACCTGAGACAATGACTTGGATCTTGAGAAATAATAATCTGGAGAAGAATATCTGGAGGTGGCCTGGTTGGGTTAACTCAACCCCCTGTTGAGCCTACCTTATCCCAGAATAGGCTCTTGGTGTCTCTGAAAGCAATGCTCAAGGATGATCCACTCTAGAAGGACAACATTTACGGGGTTCAATAAAGGGCTTGGATTTTAGGAGAGCGTTCGTAGTGCCTTTTAGTGTTGTGGTTTTCACATCATACTCACACATCAATAAGGTCAGGTTTTAGTACAGATGGCACCGCCGTTTCAATGTTATAGAGTTTAATCTGGGACCCATACAGAGTCACTTTGACCAACCTAGAAAAGCAGATTAAGGGGGGGGAAAGATTAGATAACCTTTATTGTCATTTTTTTTCCTGTGGGCACAACGGCGCACATTAAAAATGAAATTGAGTTGCTTGCTCTCAAGTGTACACATACATAACCCGCATTTAAAACACACTATACACGACATATGTATAGACCTACACCCTTGCATCTAAGTAAAATATAAATACTAATCCCTGTCCATCTTGACTATATAACGGAAGGAGGAAGCTTGAGAGTTCACAAGGTTAATGCTGTATGGAGCGAAACTGTGACGGAAACTGGATGTTCTGCTTCGGATACCACGGAGCCCCCTCCTCCCAGGTGAGTTGCAATTTATGAATGAAAAGGGTTTTTTTCCGCTTGCTGTAATATAAAGTTGATCTCAAGCTTTTGGATCTGTCTTGATACTGCCCAAAGCTATCCCCCTACAGGGTTACAACTTTGCTGATTCTAATCATTTTAGTTTTTTGATAAGAAGCCACCTCATAATTTCAGATAGTGCCTGGGATTCTGACATTGGCTCACTGCAGTTCCTGTAATTGTGATTGTACTTACTTACACAACACTGGAAGTTTTTAAGAAGAGATTTGTCTGAAATGGTATAGGGTTTCCTGCCTGAGCAAGGGGTTGGACTAGATGACCTCCAAGGTCCCTTCCAACTTTATCATTATTATTACACGGTTGACTTAGCTTGTCTGAAGGTCCCAAAAGGAGAATCACATGACCCCGGGACACTGCAATCGTCATAATTATGAGACGGTTGCCAAGTGTTCTGAATTTTAGTCACGTGACCATGGGGATGCTGCAACGGTCATAAGTGAAAAACGTTTGTAAGTCGTTTTTTTTCAGTGCCGTTGTAACTTTGAACAGCCACTAAACAAACTGTTGTAAGTTGAGGACTACTTGCACAACATCCCTCCCTTTTCCCCCTTACGATAACATACAGTTCAAAGGTCCTGCATGGTGGGAAAAAAAGAGAAGGGCTAAGATTGAAGTGTCTGTAGCCAACAGCAGCAGGGGCAGCAAATAGAAGAGAGGCTGGGGAATTCTGGGAATTGAAGTCCACCCATCTTAAAGTGGCCAAGGTTGAGAAACAGGGCTTTAGGCAGTTTCATACACCTGGGGGGATACCTACCTCTCCACTATGGTAAGAGCATCGCTGAACCTGGCTGCGAACATGTCCCCAGTGAAGTATTCTGCTAACCGTCCCACCGCCTGGAGTAAGGAGCTGAGGTCCCGCAAAGAGCAGTGCAAACGGCGGCAGTCGTTCTCCGCAGTGATGTTCAGCCGGTGGCCTGGAGAGGCAGCCAAAATGCCTTTGATGTAAAACCCTGGGGCTGGCTCGCCCCATTTAGGGAAATCTGTCAAAATGGTCCTTTGCTCCCCACCCCCTAGTCCAGGCGTGAGCAACGCTGGCCCCTTTATGACCTGCGCACTTCAACTCCCAGAATGCCTGAGCTTAGCAGCGGCTCAGGAATTCTGGGAGTTGAAGTCCAGAGATCGTAAAGGGGCCAGGGTTCCCCACCCCTGGCCCAGTCCCAGCTTTGCTCTTAATGGAACCGAAGGACTGAGCTCATCCACAACGATAACTCTGGAAGCATAGGAAGCGCTCAGAGAAGAAACGTAATTATAATGTTCCCTCTGCAGGAAATGAAACGATGGTTGGGATCAGATTGCAAGCATTTGGCTTTGGCGATCACAGCTCTGAACTGGAGGCCTTTTCGTGGCTGCAACTGAACAAAAGGATTCTTCTGAAAAGAATATTCCTGCTTTAATTCTCCCTCATTCTGGTTTGTTGACCTCCCCTTAAATGTTCCCCGAATTTTGATCACATGACCGCGGGAATGCTGCAACAGTCCTTAAGTTTGAAAAATGGTCCTAAGTCATTTTTTTTCAGTGTCGTAACTTCATACTGTCACTAACCAAATGGTTGTTAAGTCCAGGACTACTTGTAAATGATTTCAAGGATACAGGGCTTTTTGGAACAAGTTAGCATGGACTTAGAGCAGTGGTTCTCAACCTTTTTAATGCTGCGACCCCCAACCGGTCGTAAGTCGAGGACTACTCAACCGGTCGTAAGTCGAGGACTACTCAACTGGTGCAGCACCGTTTGCAGAATGGGACTTTTGGCGGGCTCAGCAGGGCAGAGACAGCCTGGACAATTCCTATTGGCTTTTGAAAGCCAATAGAATTAGACTCTATTCAAGAGAGTCTATTCTATTGGCTTTCAAAAGCCAACAGAATAAAAGGGAGTAGCACAGCTAAGGAAAAGGGGGAAAAGGCGGACTGCATTGTTTGGCGACCCCCGTGAAATGGTCGTTCGACTCCAAATGGGGTCCCGACCCACAGGTTGAGAACCACTGACTTAGAGAGTGCTGTGTATGTAAAGCCAATTTTTACACAGTCCTAATGAATGTTCTTCCAAAACGTCCTTTTCAGCCCTCCGCTTTAAAACACCCGTCAATCAATGTCAAGGTACCACTTCACTTTGCACCGTCCTATGTCTCTGTAATGATTCTGGAAACTGTTCAAGAAATGGCTATTAGCTTAGAATGGAGACGGCAATAACAAAAACTTCAAAAGCTGATTTTATTAATGCCTGAACACAATGCCCTTTATCAAATAGAGCTAGGAATGGCTTCTTAGGTATAGCCCCAAGAAAGGGGTGTGCATTTGCCACAGCTACCAGTGGGGTAGGGAGAAGGGAGTGGGTAAAATGGCAAAAAGAGAAATAGAAAACAGGCGGATCCTACAGATTGTGGCCGCTGACAAAAGAGTCGTTAGGAATGACACCGATATTCTGGCAATGATGAATTACATGCAACCCTAGTAAGAAATTTTGCCCTCTCTCAAACCTGGGCAGATGGGTGTTGAATTTCCCATCACATTCTAACTGAGCTGTTCTTCTGTGCCAGGCCCCGATCCCTTTCCAGAGAGACGTGTTTTCAGCTCCTTTCAAATGATCTCAACTGAGATCTTTTCACGTTAGTGCCCTGACTCTTACGCTGGCAGAGAGGGGTCCAATTTGGCCCACTGCCCTTCCAGGGTGGATTTCTGCTCCTCTGCTCAACCTGGCCTCAAATACCAGGCAATTAGGAGCAGCTCGATCAGGTATATACTGCCTCTAAGGTCATTCAGTCACTTATCTTGGTCTTGATCATGGGGCTGCAAACTACATGAGTATGTTGCAAAATACAGGGCTAGCCCTAGATGCACAACCGACCATGTGGAAGGAGCTAATTCTGGCTGACCAGCCCAGCCTGAAGCCTGGCAGGGGTGGACTTCATGTAGGGTGGGGAACCCTCTTGCTTAAAAGTTCATTCATCTTTTTTTTGTGAAAGATTGAAATCGATGGTAGCCTACTTAATCTTATATTAATAGCGTAGTTATTTTAGCATTTTAGGCATATATATCACCACATAGCACTTTATGGCACTCTCTGGGTCGTTTACAATGTCAGCATTATTTGCATCTTGCCCCCAACAATCTGGGTCCTCATTTCACCGACCTCGGAAGGACGGAAGGCTGAGTTAACCTTCAGCCGGTCAAGACTGAACTCTAGACTGCGGGCAGAAGTTTGCCTGCAATAATGCACTTCAACCCCTGTGCCACCAGGGCTCTTAATATTAATTAATATTGGTCACATTTAGCTGACCTGAGACTTCACGCATAGGAAGTTCGTCTTACCTGTCCCCGAGGTGACAATGAACTGTTGGAGCCCCAAATACACATCCAGGTTTTCCTGGAGCACTGGAAACTAAAGGGAAAAGGAAGATATTACTACAAGGGCTGAATTAAAGTCAAAATGGATGACATCTCAAGCACGATGAATAAAAAAATAATAATCAGAAATTCAGTTTGAAAGGTCAGCATCGCTGCATGGCATGGTTCCCAATCTGGCCTTCTCAGCCCGTGTCAAAAGACCATTTCAATTGTCTAGGGAGATTTTCAGACATCCAGATCATGGTTGTCCCAAAAGTGCTTTTTCAAGAGGCAACTGGACTTTCTTTTTCCTTGAAGACGAGTCAGAACTGAAGAAGCTTCTTGGATGAGAAGGGAAACGTCTTCAAGGAAAAACAAAGTCCAGTTGCCTTTTGAAAATGCACGTTTGGGACACAATTTCTATTATTTCCAGACAAGCATAGTTTATAATAATAATAATAACAACAACAACAACAACAACAATAAAGTTGGAAGGGACTTTGGATGTCATCAAGTCCAATCCCCTGCTCAGGCAGGTAACCCTATACCATTTTGGACAAATGGCTGTCCAGTTTCTTCTTAAAAACTTCCAGTGTTGGAGCATTCACCGCTTCTGGAGGCAGGTTGTTCCACTGATTAATTGTTCTCACTGTCAGGAAATTTCTCCTTAGTTCCAGGTTGCTTCTCTCCTTGATCAGTTTCCATCCGTTGCTTCTGGTCCTGCCTTCAGGCACGTTGGAAAATAGCTTGACTCCCTCTTCTTTGGGGCAGCCCCTGAGATATTGGAAGGCTGCTATCATGTCCCCCCTCATCCTTCTCTTCATTAAACTAGACATACCCAATTCCAGCACCCGTTCCTTATACGTTTTAGCCTCCAGTCCCCTGATCATCTTTGTTGCTCTTCTCTGCACTCTTTCTAGAGTCTCAACATCTTCTTTACATCGTGATGATCAACACTGGATGCAGTATTCCAAGTGTGGCCTTATTAAGGCATTGCAAAGTGCTATTAATACTTCACGTGAAGTAGTTCTTTCAGTGAAAAATCATTGGGAAAACATTTCTCAAGAGAAGTATTTTCCAGTTTGATCGACCATGTCTTACTTAAGGCCACTGTGGAGACTCATTATAAAGGGAGTTTTAAACCTGGGACCACCAATTTAAAGCCTCCTCTTTAGGCTACAATAACATCACACCATTTATTTTGTTCCTTTTTGATGGGTCTAGCTTTCTGATTTTATCTGTATTTTAATTATTGATGATTACTGTGCGAAATTATTTAGACTGTTTTATTAGAGACCTAAGACTGTTTTATTACAGATTGTAGACTGCAACAAGTCTCTCTCGACATAGCAGGTAAAATATTGTATCAATAAATAAAATGTCTGGAGTGATTTAGTTCCCCCCCCAGGAAAAATCATCTCGTCCTTTTGAAGCAATAGGGAGAAACAGTGGGGAAACTCCCTGGTCTTGCTTGTCACACCAAGAAATTTAAAACACTAATTTCAGGCATGGACAGGTATTCCACAGTTTGAAAGCAGGAGAAAATTATGAAACGTACAATAGAGGAATCAAAAACTGCTCTTCTTTCCAGGAACCTAATTCAACCAACATTAGGCTGATTTCCTTGGATTTACCACCAGCTGCCCGATTTTATTTTTGTAAAATTTCCCCATATAGGTAGTCCTTGACTTGTACTCGTAATGGGGCCTGCAGCAGGCACGGCATGAATCATCCTGATGTTAAGTGAATCTGCGGTCATTAAGCGAACGCCGCAGTCCTTAAGCCAATCCATTCTTGGCTATGAGGTGTTTTTTCCCAAAACTGGAAGTCAGTGTCAATGTTCGGCAAAAAAACCAGCATAAATTGTGTTTGTGTGACCGGGGGTACGCTGCAAATGGCCCAGCACCCCAAATGCGATCATATGTCCATGGAGGGAGCAGCCACTGAACTTCATAATTACTTTTTTTGTGTGGGGGGGTCTGTCATAACACGGAGCAGTCACTAAGTTAAGGACAACCTGCATGACTTCTAACTTGGTAGCGTTCTCATAGCAATAGCTAAAAGGGAAGTTTTTTAAAATGTTATTTCTTATCAAATTTATTTGCTCCCCATCTTTTCAAGGAGTTGGCAACCATTTGTCTGGAATAGCATAGGGCAGGGTTAGGCAACCTTGGCTCTTTTATGACTCGTGGACTTCAACTCCCAGAATTCCTGAGCCAGCCATGCTGAGGGGAAAGGGGGAGGTTCTCAAGCTGAGCCAAGCTGGCTCAGGGATTCTGGGAGTTGAAGTCCACGAGTCATAAAAGAGCCAAGGTTGCCTACCCCTGGTATAGGGTCTCCTGCTTGAGTAGGGGGTTGGACCAGAAGACCTCCAAGGTCCCTTCCAATTCTTTTATTCTATAATTCTCTGATTCCTGCAAGAGGAAACTGCTTCAGCCCAGGACAAAGGTCAACAGGATAGATTTGGCGTACAAATGTGAATTAGAGACTCGTGGGTTAAGCTCTAGAATGGACTCAAAGATTAGGACGGACATAATAGCCACCTTCACTCCCTTAATAAAATAACACGAGGAAGTTACCCTTGTGTAGCAAATGGGAAAAGAAACAAAATCACATTGCAGAAACACTCTGCAGAAGTTACCGAAAACAAACGTGGCCTGTTTCTTTTTTGTTCGACCACTCGAGCTATTTGGAAATAAATGCCCTATTACTCAACAGGATGTGACATGAGCCTGCAAAGATCCATCCGTCCACTAATAGGTAGAAACACAGAGCGGCTTTCATTTCTGAAGCCGCTTTTATTGTCTACACGGTGGCTAATCACATGTTTCCAATGTTATTGGGAGAGGGACACGAGATTCAAAAAGCTTTTTTTAAAACAAAAAACCAAGCATGCTGCAAAAAAAAAACCAAAACCAAACCATGTGACCATATCGTGAATAAGGAAGGAGAACATCACAAACTGGTGATATCACTTCTAGTGCAGTAAGTAGTAAACCAGTAGGAACACTCGAGAGTTCTGCAGAGGCCTAGAAATGAAGCTACTCTTATCTATTTGGGTTCCGAGGTTAGAATTTCCCTCAAATCTTCTCTCTATAAAAGTTTGCCAACTACTCTGGCTTGATTCTCACCACCTCATTTTAGGCACCAGATTTAACTTTTCGGCGCAATGCTTTCCACAGGGAGGTGGGGAAAATCATTAAACTTCTAGCTAGACTGAGCGTTTCTCAACCTTGGGGACTTTTAAGAGGTGTGGGCTCCCCGTAGCTAGCTGGGGAATTCTGGGAATTGAAGTCCACCCGTCTTAAAAGTCCCCAAGGCTGAAAAACACTGAGTAAAATTAAACGAATCGGGGCAAAGCAATGAGCAATATTGTACTCAGGAGAGTGCTCAGGGCAAGGGCAAAATAGTGGGAGCCAAGGAAGGATTAACTAGGATGTTAGCCTGTCCTATTTAGCATAACTTCTTTTACCTACTCCTGTTTTCAAATAACCCTCTAGTTAACTCTTCTCCCAAATAGCATAAACAGGACTTTCCAGGCTACACCAAAAGGCAGGCCAGGTCCTACCTCTGAAGCGTGAAACATGCTGGCTGAAGAATTCTGGGAATTGAAGTCCACACGCTTTAAAGTTGCCGAGGTTGAGAAGCAATGCTCTAGTGGATCCTGCACAAGGCAGGGAATAGGAGTGGATGACCTCTTAAGATCCCTCTCAACTCTTATTCTTTTATGGCAGTGATGGCGAACCTTTTAGAGACTGAGTGCCCCAACTGCAACCCCAAACCCACTTATGCATCATTGGGTGCCGGGTGGGTGTGGCCCATTGGGTGGGCGTGGCCCGTTGGGTGGGCATGGATGCAGTGGTAACGGCAGACTGGGTGGGACTAAAAAGTTCAATCAATCAATTCCAACTTTGCAAGATCTTTTTTTTTCCTGCGAGAAGTTGAAATTGATTGATTGATTGAACCTTTTTTTTTTGTACATGACGGCGGAGGCCTAAAGTGAAAAGGTTTTATAAAACCCAGCTGAAGGCCTAGGACTGGGGCGACGGCGCACGTGCCCACAGAAAGGGCTCTGAGTGCCGCCTCTGGCACCCGTGCCATAGGTTCGCCGCCACTGTTTTATGACATTCACTCTGTTCACTTACCAGGGTGGAGAAGGCGTGAGTTGGCAAAAGCTCCATAACTTTAGCCACAACCTCTAAGCTCTGAAGGAGATACCGCTGCCATTCGGTCTGTTGCTGTTCAGGGGGTAAAAACAAAGACATAATCAGCCATTTTTATTTCCTTCAAGTAAGGTTCTTAACTTTAAACATGGAATCTTATTGGAACAGGGGGAGAGAAAGCCCTTATATTATGAAGTCAAAACCGCTTCAAGGAGAAAGGTCCGAATCTGTCCGTGCTGGTTTCCAAATCACGGGAAATATTTTCAGCATGGTGGATGGTTTGAAAATGGCGTTATAATCTGAAGTGGAAGGGTCCATTTTATCTCATTTCCCTCAAGCACAACAGGAGTTAGATCCTTGGAGTTGGAGATTCTTTCACAGAATGTTATTTGCATTGTTCTCTATTGCATATATATGTCATTGCCTTTATTCTGAGAATGGGTGTCCTCCTACACTTTTGGTCTCACAACATGGCAACCGAAAAGAAAAAAGGGATAATTCAATGTCTCTTGATAAGCTCCACTGTCCGGGGGAATCTTGAATCCAGGCCTGTCCAAACCCAGCCTAACACCAGTTTGAAATCTAAACTGCCTTTAAAATCCCCTAATGCTGATTTTGTTTAGACCTGGTACATAATCTGATATCCTCCAAATGAGGCATCCAGGCCCTGGTTGTCCCAAAGATGCTTTTTCCAACGGCAACTGGACTTGCTTTGTTTTTCTTTGGAGATGTTTCGCTTCTCATCCAAGAAGCTTCTTCAGTTTTTTAGTTTGACTGAAGAAGCTTCTTGGATGAGAAGCGAAACGTCTTCAAGGAAAAACAAAGCAAGTCCAGTTGCCGTTGGAAACAGCAACTTTGGGCCGCCCTTTGAAAGTTGCAAATAGGTTGCTGTCGGGAGGGAATGCTGGGAGAATTCAGCCTATAGGCTCCCGCCTGCCACCTCCGTTTCTTACGTCATCGTCCAGCGTCTCATCGTCCAGCTCTTCCAACTGGGCCTGGTTGTATCTGAACTGTATTCGGTTTAGTACTTCGGTCAGCAGCAAAACCAAAGCATCCTCGTACCTGGAGGAAAGGGAAAGGGTCCAAAATGAGGAAGTGGCAGGAAGAAAGAAAAAGCACGTGGCCTCGTGTGTTGCAAGGAAGTGCTCCAGCTGGCCCTGCTGAAAAAGGAAATCACCAAGACCTGTTCCAAACTCTCTTCCACAAGCATATTTCGTTAATGAACTGAATCAAGGGATTTATTTCCTCAAGGCATTGTGTGCAGGCAAGGTTGACCCATGGCTAGGTGTGAATTTTGCAAGGCAGAGAAGTCCCCAATTTATTGAGATTCATCCCCTGATGACACCAGACCCCTGGAAACCATTAGAGAACTGTAGCCTTAAAAAAAAAAAAATCTTTCTCAGTGATTGGAAGCTTTGAAGGCAAGTTTGGTGACTTCTCAAAACCAAGAGAAATCAGAGTTTTGAGAGATTCTGCAGTGCTTTCCTTCTTCCCCCAGACTGCAAATGAGGCATAACTAAAAAGCAAATTTGCTTAACGTTTCTGCTGGTTGATATGCGGAAATCTGCATAAATTTGCCCATGGAAATTTATTTGCCCATTTTTCCTTGCACGGTTTGGATAAAACTGCTCCCACTAGGGGAGAGGTCCCCAACCTTTGGGGCACCAGGGACCGGTTCCATGGAGAGAGGTTTTTCCGTGGACCGGAAGGGATCTGGTCTTGTGTGCTGCCTGCATCCTAGGGATGGAGCTTTCCTTGTTTGTGCAGACCAGTTGCTGGCATGCCACGGCCCGGTACTGCTCCAAAGCCCGGGGGTTGGAGACCCCTGCACTAGAAAATTCTTTTTTCTGAAAAAAAAGCACTTGCCCTTCCCCAGTTGCAGATTAAGGAATATGAAACATAAATCCCACACATTTCAGTGCGACTGGTTTAGGGTAAATTACATTTCTCAGATTTGCAGTACGGCCTGGGGAGGATTATTTCCTAGAAATAAGGTGGTTACTAACTGCATATTTAGAAGATAACCAGTTTTCCCACAAATTAAACCTCGTTGCAATTTTTTTTTTAAAAAAAAAAATCAGCATACTCGTAGATCTAACTGAGATGAATTGCCTGGAAGTGACTTAGCAAAATTGCAAGAACTATTTTCTGCCCCATCCTTCTTTCAAATGAAAAGAAATACAGGTAGCTCTCGACATCATGACCAAAGTTACAACAGCCCTCCCCAAAAGTGAGCTTTGATCGGTCCTCACACTTATGACCATCGTACATCCCCAGTCACATGACCAAAATTCAGGCCCTTGGCAATCGGGATATTTTTACGATGGTTGCACTCTCCCGGGATCATCTGATCATCATTTGCAACCTTCCCAGCTGGCCTCCAACAAGCAAAGTCAATGGGGGATGCCGGATTCGCTTAGTGACTGCAGTAAAAAAGGTCACAGAATCGGGCGCAACTCATTAAACCAAACCGCATTGCTTAGCAATAGACCGTTCAGTCCCCCGTGGTCATGACGACTTACCTGTTTGTGATTTTTCTCCTTCATCTGATATAAACATGATATAAATTCTTTGGGCCTGTTTCGCAAAAGGTGGAAACTAACATTGGAGTAATATATTAATCAGCTAGTTTGCTGCCAGAAGCAAACTAACAAAGGGGGGGGGGAAGGGAAGAGATCTTAAAATTACTTGTAGATGAGACGGGAGACAGACCTGATCGTTTTCTCTTTCAGATATTTGTCCTACAGAAACTAGCACCAAAGCCTGATCTGGCTGCTCCTCCCTTCTCATAGGAGACAAGCAACATCTGAATAGGATACTGATGTGACTCGGATTATAGAGGAATACCAGGCAGGCAGGGAGGTGAGCAAGGCAACCGGCAGCCTGAGTGTCCCGCGGATCATGTGAATACGACACTCTTCTCCTGAACAGACAAAGCAGGTTAGGCTATGCTAAGCAGAAGTCTCAAAGGCTGGCCCGGAGTTCCAAACGCACTCCCGTTTACATCTACACTCTCCATTTCCTGTTCCAAGGATTGCAGAAAGAGCCACAGGGAAAGAAACGCGGCCCTTTCACAAAGAATAGTGCAATCTTATTCTGCTTCTCCAGGCCTTGCTATTATAGGGACAGCTGTGCTGGCTGGCTCCCCGTTCACTCTATTCCAAGCCATAAACTCTGATGGAAAGAGTTAAGAATTGCTCCATTCTTAATGAGCCAGACCACAACATTGTCTTCCCATAAACATTAGCTTTTTTGTTCTCAAACGTATGACAGGGAGGACTGGAGGATGCGCCTATTGGACATTTAATATGTATTTAAGAGCCTGTGCATTCCAGACTGCCTCCTACTAAGGGTTTCAAGTGAAACAGCTCATAATTCCATATTCCGTGATTCCTCATGCATTGACTATGGTTCCTTTGCTCTTTCCCAAGAAAACAGCATGACATACGACCAGTGGTGGGATTCAAATAGGTGAACAAGCGGTTCTCTGCGTGAATGCCGCTTCCGGATGACCGTTCTGGGCCTGAGCAACAAAAAACTAGCTACCGGTTCTGCCGAAGTGGTGCGAACCAGCTGAATCCCACCAAAGGAAGGAAGGAAGGAAGGAAGGAAGGAAGGAAGGAAGGAAGGAAGGAAGGAAGGAAGGAAGGAAGGAAGGAAGGAAGGAAGGAAGGAAGGAAGGAAGGAAGGAAGGAGTGGTGGGATTCAAATAGGTGAACAACTGGTTCAAAAATTAGCTACCGGTTCTGCCGAACTGGTGTGAACCAGCTGAATCCCACCACTGCGTATGACCACAACTGAGCTCCCAATTTCTCTTGTCAAGTGAGACATTTGTTAAATGTCTCATTTTACAACTTTTCTTGCCACTGCTGTTAAGCGAATCACTGCACTTGATAAGTTAGTAACCCACTTGTGAAGTGAATCCGGCTTCCCCCATTGGCTGTGCTGGTCATAAGGTCACTAAAGAGGACCACGTCACCTTGGGACACGGCAACCTTCATGAGTCAGCTGCCAAGGTCCAATTTTGATCCCATGACCATCGGGATGCTGCAACGGTTGGAAATGTGAAAAATGGTCGTAAGTCCCTTTTTTTCCATGACGTTGCAACTCAGAACGGTCACTAAATGAACTGTTGTTAAGTTGAGGACTACCTGTAGTCCCAGAATATGTCTGAAGGCAAGATGGGTGCCACGGAGCAATGGAAGAGATTCCGTGAGAATACACCGTTGGCATTAATACCAAAGCTGGGTAGATTTTCACAGTTCTGAGCATCGCTGCAGAGACCTTGAACTCTTCAAGGGAGACGGACAAAACAACGAGTCAGGTTAATCAAGGCATGTCTTTTGTTTGGTGCCCAACCTGAGCAGCAAACTCTGTGTGGCTCACCTGTTGAGTACTGCTTCTTTATCTGCCAAGCGATTCTTGATTTTACTGGTCAAATAGTCCAAAAAGAGAGCCCAGATGTCTAAGCAGGAAAAGTAACCTTCATGGGTGGGCTGAAACAGGCACAACAAAAAAACAGGCTGTTTAGCCCCACAACTGGTGAACAGATACATTTGTAAGTCATTCCATAAAATAAAAAAAAAAAACAAGCCTTCCCCTTCTATTGAGAGATCTGGTTTTCTTTTAAGGAGCAGATTCCGACTGAACCTGGACCAGTCCTTAAAGGAACTGTTGTAAGTTGAGGACTACCTGTACATAGCTAGCCAAGATAGCAAAACATGCATACAGGTTTTGCAGGGGACAATCCACAACCCAAGACGGGCGCTATTTCGAAATGCAAGGTTAGTCATTAAAACGGTAAAAACCAATCGGATTTCCCACCATGCAGAACTGCTGAACCAAAATACACAGAAAATAAGTTTTGCATTTAGGCAAGGCAGGGGAACTGCGACACGGGAACCCAGCTGCCCGCTTTAAACCCGTACCTGATGAAATGTGTACTTGAACAGCAGCGCGAGAAATTCCACCACCGGGAACTGCGAATACGACTCGATCCTTCTTAAGTGGACGCTCACAAAAAGGCGTAGGAAGTCAGTAAACTTCTCTATGTAGCTGCAAGAGAGAGGGGAAGGAGCCCGAGTCAGCAAATGGGGGACACTGCTAAGGAGCAACCAAAGAAGAAGGAATTAAAATCCACTGGATTGTTGTTTGAAAAGGTAACAGGTTTGTCCATTTTAACAACTGAATTAAAGCTCTACAGTTATTACCTACACAGCGGGCAACCCTTCATTCCATTATTACCTGAAACAGCAGAAAAAGACTCTGGTCAAAAAGCAACTTTCGTGCTTGTTCAAGCTAAGAGCTTCCACAATGAGACCCCCCTTAATGGTTCATGCATTTCACCATTGCTGATATTGGATGGAAAAACTGGATTAGTTAAGAATTCTGTTCGCGTTTGAACAGAATTTGCTGCCAGCAGATGTTTCTACACCAGGGGTCTTCAAACTTGGCCCTTTTATGATTGTGGACTTCAGCTCCCAGAATTCCTCAGCCTGGAGCAGACTCCTGTTCTTCACTGAACAGAGAAGAGAGCAGGTTGCAAGCCAGGATACTAATTTTCAGAAACTATCCATTCCCAACAGGTCTAGATTTTGTAACATGAAGCATGAGTGAAAACAGCCTTCTTTTTAAGGTTAAAAAAAACTTGTGATATAAATCATTCTCTCAATACTGGGTAAAGTGTTCTTTCATAAAGCCAACCAATTGTAAAATAATGCTATGCCGAGAGAATGAAAAACCAAGCTGTCTCTCCAAACATTCACTGGGTCTGATCCCCATCTGTAAGCGGAACTCACGGCCTATCAGATCTTTACAAAAACCGCTAATTCGGAAAAGCTGGTTAGGCAAAGTAAAGACGCAAAGATAAAACAAAACATACAATTTCAATGTTTTGAGCTATGTTTAGTCGAGTCACAGAATTTAGAGCGCTACAACGAAGAACTTTTTTTTTTTTAGCAATTCCCATATTTTCAGCTTCCAAAGCAAGACACAAATCGATCATCAATTTGCATTTATTCGACCTCTAAGAAAGCAACACTGTAAACAACTTCTATCAGGATTTCAAGGACTACCTGTGAAAATGGGAAGGGCCAACACCTTTGGGGAGCTCCAGGGAGTAAAGTGCTTGTCCTAAGCCCCCGCCAAGCTTAAGGCATGCATTTTGTCCCTTACATTCCCCCAAATAGCAAAGAAAATCACCCATGAAAAAGGTTTGGGGTGCCAAGAAATGCTGATGGGCCCCCCTAAAGCGTTGGTTGCAATTTTTTTCACCTTTCAGATGTTTCTCTGTACATCATTCTAGCAATCCTAACAGCCGTCTTGTTTTGAAGTCCTCCAATTAGCAGGTGGGCCATACTCTTGGGCCTCACCCAAGAACCGTAACCGGGAGCCAGTCTTAAATTAGCACTGCCTGGGAGCCCGACTTTAACCCAGGACTCATTGGTGACTCAAATAATACGATCAGCTGTTTGTGTGCTAGCTTTTGAACTGTCCTACCTGCACCGGTCGTGAAGCGGAACTGCTGCTGCTGGCAACAGGAGGGAAAGAATTGGTGGGATTTTGCAAAGCAAGCAAGAGAGGTGTGGAAGAAAGTCTCAGCTTGGAGACGTCAGCCAGAATGGAGGGATTTTGAAAGGTTTAATGGCATCCAAGTTTTTTTTCCTCCCAATTTAGCACTCCCTTCAGCCAATCCACGGCAGCTGTAGTTGCTAGGGCAACCACCAGGTTTAACAGGTATTTCACTCAATATCTGCCCCCCCCCAGCTTCTCTGGAGTAGGAAAGAATTCTAGAAAAGAAATATGGCATTAAGAGATCAAATAGGAGTCCAGCGGTTAGAAGGTCCAGTGTGGTGTTGCTCAACCTCGGCTGCTTTGAGATGTGTGGACTTCAACTCCCAGAATTCCACAACCAGCCATGGGTCCAGAAGGTAGAAGGTCCAGAGCAATGTTTCTGGACTTCAATTTCCAGGATCTCTGAACTTCAACTCCCAGAATTCCATAGCAGCAGCATGGTTGTCTGTGGAATTCTGGGAGTTGAAATCCAGAGATCTCAAAACGGCCCACATTGAGGAACACTGGTCCAGAGGAGAATTAATAAGAGATGAACTGAATATTGTGAAGTTCTGACTGGTGTCCTCAAGTGATTAATATGTACTAAAGAAAAATATCTCTCTCAAGGACAACAGTCCATACCAGCTTCTTTTTAAGAGTTTTGGGTTTGTTTCATTTTTTTAAAGAAAGCCTTCCAGCGACGTTCAACTGCAGGCAGAAATTTTCCTGCCACTTAGAGCTGATGGGATGCCCAGCAGATCAGCAGTAAAATGCGAGGGCTGCATTCTGTAACTGTTCCTACCAACCTCCATTTCAATAATGCCTGCCAAAATCTAAAATATCCCTTTATGCTTTTTGGTCCTTCCTCAACTGCTGTCAAAACAAGCCTGGAGGCTTTTGGATGGAGTCTACAAAAAAAACAAAAAAAAACAACAACCCCAAAATCCAGGCAGAATCTCATCAAAGGGATGCTTTCTACTTCTTTTAAAAAGGCACTGACAAGGAGTAGAAAATCAAAAATAAAGAACAGAATCGGGTTTTGGAATGCTCCTTGCGTAATTTATTTCCAAGCAGCTAAAATTCATTCCAACTAACGTACCTGAAGTTGTTCCAACAATGCTTTGAAAAGAAAAAACAAAACAAAACACTAAAATTCTGCCCTCATTTTGTCCAAGCACTGATGGCATCTCCCACTGCCCTTAGCTAGCACAGCCCTCGGGAGACCACCCAACCCATTCCTAAGGCCTCTTCTCCCTCAAAACCAGACCCATCCACCCATTCCTTTCGAAGGAAGATGCCAACCAGAAAACAAACATCCCTTTACCTCACCAGGTCTCTTCGGCTGCTTTCAGCAACAACCGAATGGAGGCCAACTGAGATCTTGAACCACCTCAGACCTGCAGTCAAGCTGTAATGAACGGGGGGTTGAAGGGGAGAAGAAACACAACTCCTAGACCACCACAAACTCGTTTCTGCCAAGTTGACCGCCCACACAGCCAACGTACCTGGGTCGCACTTACCTGGCTGTTTTCCCGTCTCCATCCTGGGGCTCTGAAAAAAGGCGATTAGACACACCATGCATAACAAGTCATCGGCAAAGGTAATCTTGAAGTAACAAGAAAAGCGGCTGGCCTGAGGCGCTGAAGTCTTACCTCTCGTCCAGCTGCTCTAGCCGGCTCTTCACTGAATGGGTGTTGTTCTCCTTGGTGATCTTCTGGAGGAGGTAGAAGGTCTGCTGGAACATCCGGAGTAAGTACTCTTCAAATTCCACAGGCACACAGTTCTTGGACATGAGTTCGTTGATGCAAGACATGGCCAGGACGCCCAGCTGGCCACGCTCGTGGCTCAAGGCGGCGTTCTGGCTGCTGCCGTTGAGGGAGGACATCTTCCTGGCGCGGGTGTCGCAGCCGAAGCGGGCAAAGTGGAAGATGGTGGTGAGGAGGGAAGGGGTGATACTAGTCGACAACGGGATCCAGCTGAAAAGGTGGGCTAGGCACTCCAAAGCCAGGGAACAAATGTACTCGCTCTCTGCGTCAAGGACGGGGATTGGCTGGTTCAGCAACTTGGCTGCACGGGGACTCTGCAACAGGCTACTCAAAAGGTCACCTGTGGAAGAGAACACACAAACACACACGATTAAGTTCAGTTAGGCTAAGACTTGCTAACAATAGGCAGGTAGTCCCTGACTTATGATGGTCCCTTAGCGACCGTTAGCAAAGTTATGACCACCCCTCCAACAAAGCTACTTATGGCCCAAGGGCTGTGGGGACCCGGTGAGGGGCAAAGCAGGCTCAAGTGCTTTGAGAACCCCAAGGGGTGGGATGCAGAGCACAGGTGAGAAAAGGGGATAGGGGGAGGCTATGGGCAGGTGCCTTGGTGCCTGCACTAGCCTTCCCCTAATCCTGAGGCACTTTGTGTGCTACTTAATGACCGCACCAGAAAGATGGGAGGAGGGTCATTTAAGTGAGTCAATCTCACTTAACACACATCATGACATGTGGCCATAATGGGCAGGGTCCATTGTAGTCATAGGTCAAGGGCTACCTGGATCTGATTTTTTACCCCAGCAGCCCAGTGGAATAGACAGGAAATCCTGCTGACTTGCCCTTGAAACAGTCCCGAGAGTTTGTTCATTGAGAAGAGGACCTCCGGGGTTACCAGCGTACTCATCACCCCTCTCGTGTTTCTGAAGGGAGCTTCTGGTCACCCCTAATTAAAACTGTGTAGTCAATATCAAGCAGGACCCCTTTTTTAAACGAACTGACAGCCTGGGCTGGCTTCTGTGCAAGGAACACAGCAATCTGTGCTAATGAGATAAATAGCCAGCCTTTGCAATTTCTTAGGATGGCTTTAACGAATGTGAATTCTTGTATCCAGGCTTAGGCGTCTTAGCCCGAGGAACGGCTCTGTTTGTTGAGAAAGAGGTCAGACGGTGGAAGTTTTTAAAAAATTTGCTCTGACAAGTAGCAAACGCAGTGTGACTCCCTAATGCAGCGTTTCTCAATCTTGGCGACTGTCAGATGTTGTAGAATTCAATTTTTAGAATTCCAGGGAATTCTGGGAGTTGAAGTCCACGTGTCCTAAAGCGGCCAGGGTTGGAAGCCCTGGGTACAGCAATGTTTCCCAACACTGACAACTTTAAGAAGTGTGGACTTCAACTCCCACAATTCCCCAGCCAGCACACCTCTGAAAGTTGCCAAAGTTGAGAAACATTCCCTAATCCATAAGGGCCAGAAGTCCGGGGATACACCACAAATCCACCACAACCTTTCTAACAGTCACTGTTATTCCTCCAGAAACAAGGAAGAACAACATCACAATAAGGTGTGCCGTAGCAATTCCTGTACAACGTGCAAGTTTTGTTTTACAGAAACCATCTTGTCTTCCTTCCCTAGTCCCAGATACTGACTTTACTCCCAAGGTGTAGGTGTCACTATGAATTACAGGTAAACCTTGACTTACAATTACAAATGGGACTAGAATTTCCACTGTTCAATGGTTGCTAGTTGAGGACTACCTGTACAGACACCGAATGAGAAACAAAGACTGACTCAAGATTTACCACTTTCCCGGGAGGTTGGAGATGGCGGAGGTGTGGCTGCCGTAACACTGTATTTATCCCAGATGCTCTCCAAAATTCCTGCCAGGAAAGAAGAGCGAAGTCTCAGCTGCTGCAAATCCTTTTGCCTATTCGGTGTTTGTTATTCCAAGTTACAAGTTTGTTATTCCAAGCAAGTCAGTGGAATTTGGGTAATCTGAGAACATTTTTAACCTCAAGCGCTTAGGACTTGTGTTCTGGGTATCATGGTCTCTTTATCTGTTAATCAGCATCAGATTCTTGACTGTTTCTTTCAAGCCCCCAACATGAATGCTGAAGGAGAATGTTTCTAACATCTTTTTCTTAGCAGGAAAAATAAAATGGGTGGGAGGTCTTAAGGTAGGGCTTTTCAACCAGTGGTAGGGGTACCACCTGTGGTACATTGGCACCTGGCAGGTGATACGCGACCATCCTAGAAAAGTGGTAGCGGGGGAGAGGAATGAGCTGAACCGGTGGCACTGCACAAGCCTAAGCGAGAGACGGCTGGAGCTGCAGGGCTGTCAGGGCTCAGCGGAAGCGCCAGGATCAGCGCCAGGCTCCAGCTGGAGCTCGGCGCTGATCCTGGTGCTTCTGCTGAGGCCTGAAGAAGCACCAATCAGCTGGAAAGCAGCACTGATCCTGACACTTCTGCTGAGCCCAGAAGAAGCGCCGATCAGCTGGAATGTTACAGCCTCTCCAGAGTCTTGTGATTTACATTCAGATGCTTGGCAACTGATTCATATTTATGACAGTCACAGTGTCCCAGAGTCATGTGAAGTGACCAAAACCTGTTGCAACCACCCAGCAGACGGGGGGGGGGGAACCAAATATCCCCATCCCACCCCTGCTGCCAATCCTCAACAGAAATGCTCACAACAATGAAAACCTCGGACAGGAGGAAGAGCATGGCCGGGCGGGCAGGCAGGTGTCTTGCTCGGCTGTGCCATGGGGAGCACTTTTTTCAGTGCCATTGTAACTTCAAACAGTCATTAAGCGAACTGTTGTAAGTCGAGGACTACCTGTACTTCATTCCTTTTTTTTTTTGTTGGTCAAGTTTTTGACCCCTTGCTAGGCGACTGGTGGTCCTCGGATGTTGCCATATCCTAAAAGTGGTACAGTGGGTGAAAAGGTTGAAAAGCCCTGTCTTAAGAGACAGCAGGATTCCCAGAGGCAAAACTGATCATTAACAGTTGGCAACAAATATGAGATTGTTTGAGGTTTGGATGTTGATCAGTGGACTGTTAAAAAAAATGTGTCTGCTTGTACTCTCCTGAGGTCCGTCATAGTTCTTGTTTCACAAAGAAAGAAGTGGATGGAGAAACAGAAACATTTAAAATACTGTATAGCGTGGAAAAATGGCTTAGAAACTCTTCTTTTACAGTATTAGATTTCGAAGTCATCCAAACTGTGCAATTAAAAAAGAAATACTTCTTTGTACTTTGTGTAGTTAGACCGGGGTTTGTCAACCTTGGCACTTTTAAGATGTGTGGACTTCAATTCCCAGAACTTCCCACCCAGTACTGCTGGGAGTTGAAGTCTTCACGCCTTAAAGTTGCCATGGTTGAGAAACAATAAGTTAACTTAGTGTTTCTCAACCTTGACCATTTTAAGGCATGTGGACTTCAACTCTCAGAATTCCACAGCCAGCAATGCTGGCTGTGGAATTCTGGGAGTTGAAGTCCACATGCCTTAAAATGGTCAAAGTTGAGAAACACTGAGTTAAATTAAGCAACCTACTGCCATCAGTGGGATGGCCACTAGTTTTGAAGGTTTCATAGGGGGGTGGGATAAATTCAGGGAGAATATGATTATAAACAGCTATGCTCATGGAAGACTAAACTCTTCATTCCTAAATCAGGTGTAGCATACCTACGTTCTAACTGCAGGAGAGAAAAGATCACCAGAGGTTCCTCTCCTGCTCATGAGCTTCATGAATGCATTTACTTGGCCACTGGATGACCCCAAATCCTATTTCAAGCTCCTTAGATATTGGTAGTTCGGGGGTGGGCGTCTCTTTGACTTTTGGGGAAGAGTATGGCTGATATCAGAAACCATTAGCACCAAAGCAAGCTCCTTGTGGGGCTCACAACCGTTGAGGGCTGTCCTAAAGTTGCTCTAGGAAAGGACTTCTCCTTGACCAGTCTCTCCTCTATTACACTGTATTTATTACTGGCTACGGCCAGCTAAAAAGTTAACATTTTGCGCCAAAAAAAGGGGTTTGGATCACACACAGAGTCAAACATCGTTAACATTCTAGGATATCCAGAATGCTCTCGGCTCTCCACCCGTCCATCTTTCTTGTTATCTACTGATGTATTCTCATTTTTTTTTCACTGTTTAATTCATGGTTCTATTATTTTAATTCTGCTGTTTATATTCTTTTCATTCCTTCCTTTTTATTCTTGGAAGCTGCCTAGAGCAGCGGCTCCCAACCTTTGGGGCAACAGGGACTGGTTCCGTAGAGAAATGTTTTTTCCATGGGGGGTGGGGGGTGGTTTTGCATGCTGTCTGCATCCCACGGATGGGGCTTCGCTTGTTTGAATGGCCCGGGGTGCTGGCATGCCCGCGGACAGATTCCTGGCCTAGGGTAGCCCCATGGCGAGACGGGGCAAATAAATTTAACAAATAAGTAAATAAATAAAATGAAAGATGCTTCAACATCCATCTAAAGGCAACACTGCCAGCTTCCCTCGTCAGCTGCTCCTTGCCATATAACCTGGGTTTTCCTGTCTCACTAACCTGTGAGAAGTCCAAGGACGTTCTGAACCTGCTCCAGGAGTAGCTTCCGCAGCTCCTCCTTCCGGGCGATGCTGAGGTCCTCCCGTGGGCAGGCCAGCTCTTCGGACGTGGTCTTCAGCATGATCAGTCCAAGTGGAGTTGTCACTGGGGACTGGATCAACTGTTAAAAGAGAATGGATTTTTAGCATGAACAGCTTTCTTTTTATTTGTCTATCTCTCCATCCCTTCATCCATCCCTGGACCGGGAGGCTCTCCTTACAGTCACTCACGCCCTTGTCACCTCACGTTTGGACTACTGCAACGCGCTTTACATGGGGCTACCCTTGAAAAGTATTCAGAGACTACAGTTGGTCCAGAATGCAGCTGCGCGAGTGATAGTGGGTGCTCCTCGATACACCCACGTTACATCTATCCTCCGTGAGCTGCACTGGTTGCCTATTGGTCTCCGGGTCCAATTCAAGGTGTTGGTCATTACCTTTAAAGCCCTATATGGCTCAGGGCCAGGCTATTTGCGAGACCGCCTACTACCTCATAGTGCCCTACGTCCGGTTAGATCCCACAGGCTGGGCCTCCTTTGGGCCCCGTCGGCCAAGCAGTGCCATTTGGCGGGGCCGCGGAGGAGGGCCTTCTCTGTGATGGCGCCCACGCTTTGGAATCAGCTCCCCCCAGAGATTAGGACCGCTCCCACCCTGTTGGTCTTCCGTAAGCTACTTAAGACCTGGCTTTTCCAGCAGGCCTGGGGTTTTTAAAACCTGACCCCTGGATGAATGTTATTGTATTGTTTGTTTTGTCATGTTATATGGTGTTTTTATTGTTAACCGCACTGAGTTCTTCGGGAGTGGGGCGGCTTATAAATTTTAAAAATAATAATAATAATAATCCCCCCATCTGTCCATCGATTGATCCATTGATCCATCCAGTCATCCATCCATCCATCCAGTCATCCATCCATCCAGTCATCCATTCATCCAACCAACCAACCAACCATCCATCCAGTCAACCAACCATCCATCCATCCATCCATCCATCCATCCATCCTTTCCTTGGAAAGCTACCTGCAGAGTCAACATATTCAGAATAGAGAGCCAGTCTGGTGTCTAAGCGGTTCTCAGTTAATGATGGTCATTAGGACTGGAATCTCCGTAGCTAAGTAATGCAGTTGTAAAGCACAACATCACATATCTGCATCGCTTAGCAACAGCAGTTCACATTACCACCATTAAGCAAGCAATGCGGGTCTTTAAAATGAGTCCTTAGGCAGCTCACAAACAGGTTGGCAGGCAAAGTACAGTGCGGGCATGGCGGCACCAGGGATGGCTACTGCCAGATGGGGGAACGCGCAAGTACTTAGCGGGGTGACTTATGATCTTCCCTATCAGCTTACAATTGACTCTGCTGGTGGGAAGCCAGCCCAGTCGGTTGAAAATGGTGATTGTGTGACTGGAGGGCATGGCAACCATCATAATGTAAGATGGCTGCAAATGTCCAGATCGTGATGATGTGACTATGGCCAGTGCTGGGATGTGGAAACTCGAGGACTTGTCATGAGTCTCTTTTTTCAGTGCTGTTACAACTTCGAACGTTGGCTGAACAAATGGCTGGTAAGTGAGGATTATACTGCAGTGATTGAGACATCAGGAAAGGAACCAGGAGACTATGAATTTAATTGCCACCTTAGACACAAAGCCGGCTGGGTGACTTCAGGCCAGTCACTCTCTCTCAGCCCTAGGAAGCAGGCAATGGCAAATCACGTCTGAAATTCAGGCGTCAAAAGTGACTTGAAGGCACCAGCATAAGAACGGACAACACTTCAGATGACTTTGTTTTTAAACAACAGAGTTAGCTTTTAATCTTACCTGTAAAATATTTGTGAAGAAGTCGTGATAAAACATGGGCCAATCTTGCCGGCCAATATCCACAATGACCTTACAAAGTTTATTTCGGATGAAGTAAGGCAAAGTTTTATGGTGAGCTAAAAGAAGTTTCGGCAAGCAACTGCGAATCTCTGTTTTATCCTGAGATGGGACCCCAAGCCACATCTTATTGATCAGGTTCTGAAACAGACAAGATATCATTATGAACCAGATTCAGGATCTTTTGAAACATAACCTTCTTTGCTGAGGTCTACAGCTAATATTCAAGGTATTAAATATAGAGGTTAGCTTGCTAAAAATACCGAATCTAAAAAAAGATGTGCCACTTGGAAATCTGCTTTTATTTACTAATTTAATTCAGCGGGAAAGTATTTAGTTACAATTAAGAGATGGGTTCTCGTTCGTGGAAGGAATTAAAGCTCTACCAATTCATGCCAGTAATTAATATTAGGATTGCAGGAGAATAGAGAAATAGGCAACTATGGAGACTAATTTAATCTCCTTTTGATCAAGTTGATTCATGCTTGAAAAAAAATATAACTGTATCTAACTCAGAATTATACATAAAAAAATAAAATGCTCTCTCTGTCACAAATAGCCATAACAGAGCTTGAAACTAACTCCTTTTAAAATTAATGACAGCTTTATATGCTTCATTTTATAGCTTTCACCATCCACACACAAACATTTCTGCTTTCCTTATGAACGGTTTTCAACTGAAACGAATTGAATAATCTGTTAGGGTCCGACATATCTTGGTTTTCCCCTCCAACACACGATTCTGTTCAGTTTCTACAACCCAAGTAAAGTTATGAGAATGGTTAGTCCGGTATGGTAGCTCACCTCAAATACTGTTAAACTATACATCATGACGTAGTCATTTCTCGTGCTCGACAGAAAATAGAGGCAGAATCTCCAGGCACCGACTTGCTGGGCAAAGTTATTCAGAAGCTCTTCTGGAGAGACAAATAAAGCAAAATAAAATCAAACATGGATTAGAATTTAGAACAAGAGGAGGGGCCGAACAGGAGAAAGCCATTTCTATATCCCTCTGTTTTACGAGAAAAGCCAGAAGGCCTGGCCCAGGGCTATTTATACCATTATTTACATTAAAGTTACTATCGACCAGAGATTCTAAAAACTGCAGCCAAAGACCACTGAGCTTATAAAAAGAATGACTGATATAACACTAACCGCAGGACAAACTTATTTTTAACCTGCTGATGTCTGAAATGCTTAAAAACTTGCTTTTCATTTGAGCCACGGCGCTTAAAAAGTCTTGGGTTGATCTAAGGTCGGTTCCCCAGAGCTTGGTGGTTTTTCAGTGTACCTCTAGCCCACTCTTGCTCTAAATAACAATTATTCATCAAAAGGAACACAAGAGAATAACGATTCATTAGAGTTCCCATCCCACTTTCCTCAACCTTTATACCTGATGTCTGCCCGCAAATAATTGCTGTTAAGCTAATTAAGGTTTTCTGGCAAGGAAAGTCTTTTCAAAGGATCTGTCGCTGGCTGGCAGAGGGCTGCAAGTGACAGATCATTGCATTAAAAAAAAAAAAAAAAGAGAGAGAGAGAGAGAGAGAGAGAGAGAGAAGCAAAACGTCTTTAAAACGGGAGGAAAAAATGTGGAATATTTTTGAAGGGTGCACTTCAACTTGTGCTCAAAGGAGCTTATGAGAGGAGACACCAAACCAAAATGAAGTTGCCTTCATTCTGAAATTTGGGGCGAAACTTGGGGAGAAAATGGGAAAGAAGCCGGCTTACCGATTTCACGCTTTCTCTCGTTCGTAGTGCAGTTGTGGAAAAACTCCGTCATCAAGCTCTCCAGGGCTCGGAGGGAGGCCTCCTCTGATGCCTGCCAAAGAGACGTTTTACGAGGAATCATCACACTTGGAATGCTTACAAAATGCAGCCTGATATTGTCGCAGAAAAAATAATCTTTTATGCATTCTAGGGGTTCAACATTGGACTGTCATCTACCTAGGCTTTTGCCTGGCTCCACCGGCTCTTCAATGCTGATATTGCCTCCACCCAAGTTCCCAAACATTTGAGCAACAATACTCAAGAGCGTAGGTAGTCCTCAAATTAGGGCCACAACAGAGTCCAAAATTTACGCTGCTAAGCGAGGCGTTTGTTAAGTGAGTTTTGCCCCGTTTTATGATTTTTCTTGTTGCATTTGTTGAATGAATCACGGCGGTTGTAAAGTTAGGAACACGGTTGTTAAGTGAATCTGGTCCCCCCCCCATTGACTCTGCAAATCAGATCACAAAAGGGGATCATGTGACTCTGGGACGAGTCATAAATAGGAATCGATTGTCAAGCACCCGAATGTAAATCATGAGATCGTGGGGATGCTGCAACAGCCATAAGCCTTTTTAAGTTGGAACGGTCACTAAATGAACTGTTGTAAGTCAAGGACTACCTGTACACCTGCTGGAGTTTATATTGCAAGCACATGAAGGCATTCTTTGTAGGGCAGTGTATAACTGGGCTCAATTTTGGTCATAAGTCAAGGACAACCTGTACCGTCCTAACCTGTATTTTTACTTTTGCTAATGTAAAAAGAGACCATGTTGAAAATGTAGCCACTGTTTACCAAATGACATTTGAAGAAAAGTAGTCCTAGCTGTTGTTCTAATGTTCACCTACTTAAGACCAGTTTTTCTGTCACTTTACTGTTGTGTGTTATTTTTCATGCCCTCCTTATTCGGATGTACCCAGTTCTGATCTTCCAAAGATGCTTTTAACTAGCCCCTGTTGAGAAGCATTGAAGTGCATTATAAGTGGAAACTTCAAATCAAGTAAGACTGTTTCAACTTTAGAAAAATACAGGAATACTAACACTGAGTCAGTCCATCTGTTGGGTTTCTCCAATTTTCGCAGAGTAGATTTTATAATGACAGTTTCTCCTACTTTTATCAGGACTATTTGTGCTCACATTATTTAGGAAAAACTGAATTTAGGCTGGCTTACTCACTGCAACTTGTATCTTAGCAACAGACTACTGAATTTTCACCGGCTCTTCATAGTTTTAAAATAGAAAGCCCTTCCATAAATTACTTACTCAGAGGTTATTCCAGATATGAAAAATACGGAAAACTGTCAAACTAGCCAGCATTTTAGGTTCGAATTTAATTTCTCCTTCACAACTCTTCGAAAATTTATCTTTTAAATAGCAAAACGGGTTGGCTCTACTTTTTCATCATGCTTTTGGCAGTTTTCTCCAATGCTTATTTATTTTATTTATTAAATTTATTGGCAGCCCATCTGACCACCAGGTAACTCTGGGTGGCTTACAATATTATTATATTATCGCACAGTCATTATTATTGAGAATATTCTTGTACTTTTCTGGGTTCTAGCTCAACTTGAATGTTTGGGCCAGATATTCTGGTCTTCCGCTTTACATTGGAAAACAGGGTAAAATGAGAGGTAGAATCAAGAACGGTGATGTTGCCATTGAAATATGTTCGTCGCAGCAATGGATTAAAAACACTTTTCATTTGCTCTCTGAATCTTTGGTCCTTTTCGATACAGCATTAGCCCAGGGGTCTGCAAAGTGGGCAACGTTTAAGATTTGTCGACCTCAGCTCCCAGAATTCCCAAGCCAGCATGGCTGGCTGAGGAATTCTAGGAGTTGCAATCCAGAAGTCTTAAAATTGCCAAGTTTGGAGACCCCTGCCCCTGCAATTTGGGTCTTTCTGGCTTATTGAGTAGAGAGTCTGCACTATTTCTATCACCTTATCTACAAAACAAGCTTAGTCCAGATGCAATCTTGCCCAAAAGAAATGACTGTCAGGCGAACAATAATAACCTCTTTCATTTGCAAAAACAACACTTTTAATGCATGTTCTACAAGGCTGCCAAACCCACATTTGTTGAACTATTAAGTGTTCTTGCTACAGCCTTCTCTATACAGTACGATGCCAAATGTTTATAAAATATAAGAATCGTTTTTCTGGATCTGGCCAAAGCTCCTTTATCTAGAATAGCTGACAAGATGTTCTGAGCACTTGCACACAGGAAATGGTGTGCCAGATCTCTGTCACCATTGTTCCCCTTCAACTAGTATTTGGAAATGTCTTCAACCAGGCCAGGATACTGGATCTTCAAGACCAAGTGCTTTCCATCAATTTAGTTAATGCTCTTTGAAAGTAACTGATAAGAGCCGTGGTGACTCAGTGGTTATAATACAGAATTGCAGGTTAACTCTGCCGACTGCCAGGAGTTTGATCCTGACTGGCTGAAGGTTGACTCAGCCTTCCATCCTTCCGAGGTCAGTAAAATGAGGACCCAGATTGTTGGGGGCAAGATGCTGACTCTGTAAACTGCTTAGAGAGGGCTGCAAAGCACTGTGAAGTGGTATATAAGTCTAAATGCTATTGCTGTTGCTATAACACTTACTGTACAGTACATACAGTATATCAGGATCTTTGGAAAAAGAAATGTAAAAATGATGTCCCAATTATTCCTTATATATAATTTATAAGTCAGAATTCATGATTTCCCTCTTCCCTAAAGCATCATGAAGAATTGGCCAGTTATACACTAACATCCTTGCTTGCAAACTGTTTAAAGGAGCTGGGGAAGGACTACAATACAATGCTGTTTCGATTTATCAAGATGCTTTTCAGAATGAAAAATACATTAAATTTTCTATATTTCAACAGCTATACAGCATTTCAAAACCCACTGTCTTCCCAATGACTAATGAATTCAAGCTTCTTCCTCCAGGCATGTACTTGGAAAGAGTATATTTTTAAAAGTTGTACTGTAATGATTTTCCATGTCAACACAAGCTGTTCTCCTCGCTAACTCCAATTAGTGGCTGGGAACAGCAAGAATTGATTGTAAGAATAGCTTTGATGTAACAGGGTAAATCCAACCCAATGTGTAATTACAAGAGGGTTTAAAACCAAGAAACAAATTAACGCTGGTGCTGATGAGCAGAATTCAAAACCACTAAGTACTTGGTGACAATGCTAGAAATTTATTTCCCTAGGCTTTTTGCAATAGATTTGGAAAGGTACCGTATATGCCGGCATATAAGGCGACTTCCGCAAGCGTTAAAATCGGCGCCAAAGACGGGGGTCATCTTATACGCTGAGTCGTCTTATACGCCGGAAATACTGGTAGTTTCTGACGTATAAGACGACGTTCTAGGAATGCGACTCGGCGACAAAGACGGGGGTCGTCTTATATGCCAGGTCGCCTTGTACGCCGGCATATACGGTATGTGTCTCTTCATTTAGTCATCTGCATGGTAGCTATGACTGAGAAATAGTATTTCAACCATTTAGGAAGCTTGGGATCCAAGAGAGAATCTGATCAACTATCAGAGCCGTGGTGGCGCAGTGGTTAGAATGCAGTATTGCAGGTTAACTCTTCCAACTGCCAGCAGTTTGATCCTGATTGGCTCAAAGTTGACTCAGCCTTCCATTCCTCCGAGGTCGGTAAAATGAAGACCCAGATTATTGGGGGCCATAGGCTGACTCTGCAAACCACTTAGAGAGGGCTGTAAAGCACTGTGAAGCATATATAAGTCTAAATGCTATTGCTATTTTCTTAATTTAAACCCGACAAACTGATTGGATTATCACAATCTTCCAAATGGAAATAGTTCTTCAGACTGAAAAAAACGCCACATCAATCTCTGGGTTGATTATACTTTGTTAGTAATCGTGCAAGATTTTCACCAATGGATTCACAAGCCTACCTGACCCAGAATTTTAAAACACATTTTAAGAATTTCTACAAAGGCAGGATCATTAAATTGTGTTTGTGTGTGTGTGTGTGTGTGTGTGTGTGTGTATGCCCACAAATTGACCAGCACTATAAAGGAGACTCTCATTGACTGGTTTTAAGCCCTGATGATGTCGGCAGTTGGCCGACGAAAGCTTGGCATTAGAATAAATATTTCTAGTTTTATATTTTTCCTGGTGTTCGTGTTTGTTTGCTCTTATTACATATGTATGTATGTATGTATGTATGTATATAGGCTTTTGTATCTAAGGTGGGACTAGAACTCAGTCTCCTGGTTTCTAGGCCAGCGTCTTAGAAAAAAATTAAGATTCCCCCTGCCTCCCCCCCGGTACAGTGTAGTAGAAAAAAGGTATTTTAGAATATCTATTTTATTTCTATAAGGTAATCATTTACTACGTTATCTAATCACCTTCCCCATTCCTTGCTATAATTTTTCCCAGCCCTGAGTACCTTTTATAGCATTTTTCAGGGCAAAATACTTCATAACTCCTATTTAATTCCAAACCAACCCTGTAACGCAGTTGAAAGCAACTCAGCAATTCATGACCAAGACTGAACCTTTGCCCAAATCTTAAGATTTTATTTGCTCCACCTGTTAGATTTCTGCCTTGAGCCCTGCCAATAAACAATCAGAAGCTTGACAAACATCAAGCTTGTTCATTCTTTTGGCGTGAACACAAACTTAGGAGTTTCAAGCACACGGCGCTAAACAAGATTCCACAAATTTATCACCCACTCTGGTGAAAAATAATAGCATTTAAAACGAAGATGGACTGATAACACAAACGAAGTCTCCTGCTTTCAACTCCATATAAGAAACTTCCTTCTCAAAGACTGGAGACTCATTTTACAGAGGCTGAAATCTCCTCTGCAAAAATCAAAACTTGTGTACCATATTTACACAAAAACAAACAAACAAACAAGATAATCACAAGGCTACCATTAAATAGAATTATTTAGGGAGAAGGAAATTGTCTTTTATTCATTTAACAATTTGTCTTGTTCAGCCTCTTTGGTTTGTAAGTTGTATGCATTTGGGATGCTGTAGCAGTCACATCGTATCACAGTAAAAAATAATAATAATAATAATAA